AATTCTGAGAGAATATCGACCCTGATTCGAGTATATTTATTGCATCTATCTAAATTGATTTTCGTCGCGAAAAGACAGATATTACTTGGAACGAGAAAAACAAACACCACTCGCAACTTTTCACCATGGGAACTCGCTTTCTCGACAAAACGAGAGGCAAAATCGCCGGGGATGGACAGGCGCACGTGCCCCTCCCTCCTCTAATCGAGGTATAGTACACAGGATGCCGGCTTCCAGATTAATTTCATTATGAATGTTGTCCCAACACTCGAGATCGACTGACGGTCAAACACCCTCGACTCTATTAACAGTTTAAAGCGTATTACCGTTCACTGGACTCACCAAACTCTCCATCCGTCCATTTCAACCCTCTCCGAAAAATTCATCGATTTTTTCCGTCTCTCCATAACTCCACTCAGACCTTCATTCCCCATCCAAAAAAATTCAATTCTCCCTATTGAAAGTTCAGAGGAAAGACACAAATCAAAATTAACTTAATTGAAAAAAAAACACCATTTGTTGCAATTTTTGTCCGCATGGAGAAAAAACTTGGAGAAAAATTACCGAAGGATTTTTCCAGCCCCGGTCTCTACAAGCAGTCATAAACGATTAGAACGGGTTCTTCGAGGTATTTACTCGAAGATGTGGAGAGGACAGATTTTTTACTAACATTAAACATATTTAATTATGTAATTCAATTGCCATCGGCCAGTGAGCGATGGAATCGAGCTTTGAGGGTAATACCGCCCGGCATGCGTCCAATACCGCCCATCTTGTTTTGATGACTTTTTTTTGCAATGCAGACCAACTGTTATAATTTTTCCTCCTTTCATCCTTCGTTTCCATTCTTTGGCTCCATTTTGAGAAAGATTTCACGTGAATAATAATAAATTATCCTGAATTTACCCGATGTTCCAGTGGCCACCGACTACCCCAAACAATCGAGCGGTCACTCGACCGCCCTCTAGCTGCAGAGTCTAGCGGCCCTGTAGAAACCCTGGGCGGCATTACCCACAAACGCGGAGGCTGATAAAATAGCCAATAATAACTGATGAATATATTTTTCCGCTATCGAAAAGGTCGCAATGGATGTGGAAATGTATAACGAACATATACTTCGTACTCCATTCAATTATGGACCAACGGAAAATTTGAGAAATCTTAAATTCTGGGGTTGAAATATTTTAAGAATTCGGTAGAAAATTATTTGGATTTTTGTTAAGGATGTTTCTACGGGGGAAAATTGAAAATTTCTGTTGAAATTGCTTGTTGTTATCAAATATTTGCATAATAAAAAAAAAAATGTTTTCAACAAATCCTGGGCAATACACAAAAAAAAAACTTTACTTGCAGACTTATGATCTCAAATTGAGACTTTCCGAAGTCTCAAGTCTTTGCAGGCTTTATAGAGATAAATAAACAAATAAATAAGTAAATAAATGAATAAATGAATGAATGAAAGAGTAAATAAATAAAATATTCAACCCAAAACAGAAAGATTTAAACTGAAACATTGGCAAATCGTCCAATAAAATTCCACGAAAAAAAAAATGACAACGAAGACACTCCCGGGTCCCTTCGCGTAAAATAGAAGGGATTAGTTTCTTACGGTAGCGTCTCGCGGGGCTTAAGCATTGATGAGGTTTTTAAATGGGTTCTTCTTTGATGGCGCACGGTTGGTAACGATGCGCGATCCTGCCTCCCCAATTCCCCTCCTTTCTCCAAAGTGGGTGGATATTCACGTGGAGCTCGACCAAGACTGCTTCCCCTTTCTTTTTTTTCAAGCAGAAAAAACGAGCGAGTTCAGTGGGGAGGTTGCGAACCAGGAGACGATATTTACCAGGAGATTAAAAAATCGAAAGAAAAATTAAGTGTTACGAGGGCATGCGGCTCCAAGTCCCGGACTTAATTCGATGTAATCCCCTGCTAAGATTCACCCCAGTCGCTCCCCCTTCTGGCCCTTCCACTCTATTTCATAGAGATGAAAAAAAAAGTAAACACAAGTGTCTTATTTTCTGATGACTCCAAACTGCAGATTCAGAGTAGTTATTTCATTTTGTTCATCGCATTAAAAATTACACAAAAAAACCGGAATGGAGAATTTTTTTCTGTGCACGGAGAGAAATGTTGGATAAAAATTATCAAGAAAATTGTGACAATTTTTACTGTACGATAGGTACAGTAAAAATGTTAGAGCGAAATGTAATTCACTATTCGTCTCTCTTTGTTGCCCAATATAGGGTGAAAAAGTACTGAACATCGAGTTCGTTTCACAATTAGAGGAGCGGGTGCCTGTACGGCCCACCCGTATTTTTATCTTTCTTTATTATGCAAATATTTGATAACAACAGGTAATTTCAACAGAAATTTTCAATTTTCTCCCGTGAAACATCGTTTAAAAAAATCCAAATAATTTCCTACCGAATTCTTGAAATATTTCGACCCCAGAATTTAAGATTTTTCAAATTTCCAGTTGGTCCGTAATTGAATGGAGTGCGAAATATATGTTCGTTATACATTTCCGCGTCCATTGCGACCTTTTCGATAGCAGAAAAATATCTTCATCAGTTATTATTGGCTATTTTATCAGCCTCCGCGTTTGTGGGTGATTCCGCCCAGAGTTTGCGGGTAATGCCGCCCAGGGTTTCTCTAGGGCTGCTAGACTCTGCGGCTAGAGGGCGGTCGAGTGACAGCTCGATTGTTTGGGGTAGTCGGTGGCCACTGGAACATCAGGTAAATTCAGGATAATTTATTATTATTCACGTGAAATCTTTCTCAAAATGGAGCCAAAGAATGGAAACGAAGGATGAAAATAGGAAAAATTATAACAGTTGGTCTGCATTGCTGAAAGAAGTAATCAAAACAAGGTGGGCGGTACTGGACGCATGCCGGGCGGTATTACCCTCAAAGTTCGATTCCACCGCTCACTGGCCGATGGCAATTGAATTACATAATTAAATATGTTTAATGTTAATAAAAAATCTGTCCTCTTCACATCTTCGAGTGAGCACCTCGAAGAACCCATTCCAACCGCTTATGACTCTTTGTAGAGTGCGGGGCTGGAAACAAGACTCATTTCCCCTACTTCACTGGGTCCCTAATTTTTCTCCAACTATTTTCTCCATGTATAATTATAATATATTGAGCTTCCAATTGCAATTGAATGACCCCGTATGAGGAAAAAAACTTGGTACAAACGGGAAATAACAGAAACTCGATTACAAGCTGAAGAGACCGTGGCTGTGTTGGCGATACAAATATTTAGAGGACGAGGGAAAAGCACGAGGAGCCATAGAAGACCAGTGAACAGTATAACCTCGTCCTACTATTGCCACGCCGGTGTTATTAGTAAATTAACTGACATCAAAGAAAATGCCAACGTTGGCCACTTACTCTGTTAATGGAAAGCTTCATCGCGAGTCGCATGGTCAACTATGGGCTTGCAAAAGACTCAAATGTGTACCGTGTTGACTCTTTCGACGAAATTTCTAAATGTTAAAATTAAATTTCCGGCCCTTTTTGGTTTTTCAGAAGAATTACGTATTAATTGTATTGGGGGACACATTTCTCCTTTCTACTTTCAGCTGAGAAGAGTTGGACAACTCGTGTTTGTGGAGCCACTTTATGACTTTATTATGCGAGAGATGACTAAAAATGGTCATCAATCAAAACGGTCAAACAATTATTTGAAGAAGCAAAATTAAAGAGCATTAGAATTGATCCGTTTTGGCAATTTCATTTCAAGAGTTATCACATACGAAATTTCTCCGAGCGAATATGAAAATATTTCTTCACCCTTTCTTTTTTCTCCTCTTTCGTCCCCCGAATGCAGATTTTCCTGTCCTCTCTTTTTTTTCAAGACACTGCAACTAAATTTCTGTCGTTAAGCCCAGGCCGTAATCCCACCCTTAATATTCAAAAACGTGATCGCCCTGCGAAACGCTCAGAAGCTGCCCAGTTCTCTCAGCGTGGTAACGAGAATGTAGCCGATATCATCAAGAGACATTGGATGTGAAAATCGGGGCAGATGCATGGAAGATGAAAAATTACAGGGAGAGCTTTGCGGTTTTCTACACAGGGAGAAATATTCAGTAAAAATGACGGAACAATTCACGTAATCCGCAATGGGGAATCGTTTTCCGGCAATTTTTATGGGAATGGAGGAGAAGAAATCTGAAACGTTCAGTGAATTTTCAGGTTCATCACCGAACAAAGTACGAAATTGTCACGGAATGTTGCCCGAAGAAGTGAAATCTTACAGAAACTTGGCGACTTATTGTGCCTCCAAAATCAAAAATTCTTGAACGTTCAACAATTTTTATGAACCTGGTGAGTTATTTCTACGTTCCGTTCCGTAAAATTTCTCAATCGTCGGGGAAAAATTACGGATCGACTTGTCGCCCACAGCGGTGAGTCATCAGACGGGTGGTTAATTGTTACGGAACAAATCGTAGAATTTAATTTTACTTAGCTCACGGATTACGTTTCGAACCGTAATTTTTGCGTTTTGTTCTGGTAATTTTTATTGAATTTTTCTCTCCGCGTATCCGTTAATTGGTGTTCGTTATTGTTATTACAAGATATTCAGAATCCCATGTGGAAAGTAAAGTTGAAGAACCCACAGATCCTTTATTAATTATTGGAAATGAGTAGCTTCATTCTCTTGAAATGCATAAACAAATGAATAATAAATGAATACTGAACGAACAATAAGTGAATAATAAATGTATAATAAAGCGAGATCTCTCTCGGAGTTCCCCATCAATGAACAAACCATAAATCGGGCCAACGCCGAAAAAAAAAAAACACCGTGAATGATGCTCTCGTTAAATCACCGAATTATCTCTTCCCGGTGTAATTTTATCACCTCCCACAGCCGGTATCTTTAACTCGTATCTGTGACAACAGGTATAACGAATGAGATAAGAGAAGTAAGCCTATCGTCCCGTACGGTGCCGCTGCTCACAGATCATTTCGTGTAAATGTTACGCTGCGTTGACTATCGACCGCGTGTCCAGTCTCAGCTCAATCAGGAATAAACTAGTGAAAGTGTTACGATCTAACTTCACAGTGCAACAAATAAATTGTTACAGATAAAATCGAGCAGGTGAGTGAATCATTAATTAACTTCAAAAAATCAAGTACTCTGCCTTTCGGAAACGTTGGGCATCGGCCTCTGCGATTATTGACAGACTCCAATCGATTGAGGATAAAGAAAATGCGTTCAATATTAACTGCTCCGTTCGGCATTCTTTATGAAGCCATTATCGGCGGATTTTTTTGCATAAACACCGGAAAAAATTGAATACTACAAATTTAGGTAAATTAAAGCTCCTGTCGTGGACACAGAAATCTTAACAATATTTTTGGTTTTCGAAAATTAATTTAGTGACGAAGTTTTTCATTGATATCTCAGAATTTAAGGGAGATAGTAAAATTTTTGTAATAACCTTTTCTGTAGCTCTCAAATTGCTCTATCAAAAACGTCGTTACGAAAATTTTATTATCTCCCTTAGATTTGGAGATATTCCTCAAAAACTCAGTGGAGGATTTAGCCGACATGAATCGTTTTACCGCTTCGCTACTGAATTTTTTTTTCTTTCTGGTGTAGCTTTTATTTGGTGCACAACATTATTGAAGACTTAAAGTAGCTCTACCTTTCGGCCGGGCTACGCTGTACTTTTGGATATATTTTCAGTTTTTAAATTTTTCAACTAAATTGCATGGAAAAAATTTGAAAAAATTCATACCCGGTCAGTAATATCTAAATTAAAATTCACAAAATATTGATATTTTTTCAAAGATTTCCCTCTTGTAAATAAATAATAAAACTTGTTTGCAAAACGGTGGATTATTTTTTATGAGGTGTCAAAAAAATTCTTGATTTCAGATCTAATGAAAAAAAATTCAGATTTTAATCTTTGATTACAATGGAAATGTTGATTTTCACATAAGACACTGGGTTAAATCCTGATTTTTAAACATTTCTTCTTTGAAAAACCAAAATGATAATTCAATTGAGAAAAAAATTAGAATTCCGAATCTAATCGAGTTTTCTGCAATTTTTTGCAGTTTTCAATAATCTTTGAATTAACCGTAAGGGTAGAGCTACTTTAAATCCTTTCCATTGAAGTCTAACCCAAATCCGTGAATCAGATCAACACGTCCCAAGGTTTGTGACTCACGGACTCACAATCTTATCTGAAGACTAGAATTCATAGTAAAAGCGTCACCGGTTTCATTGATGAAACATGAAATGTTTCTTCATAACACATTTTTTAAAATTTTTAATTGAAATTGACTTCATGTTTATTGTCTCAGGATGACCCTTGGCCCTAGGGAGGTCATGAGGTCGGAGGCAGTGGATGGTTTGACAGGTCCCGCTCATCCAATCCCCAATGAGTCACTAGACTGCGGCTGTGGTCAGTTACCTTGTCCCAAATTGGTGAAATACGCAACGAGGAAATTTTTTGTTGGACTTTTGTGCTGGATTGGATTCATTCAGGCAGCGGCAAACGCCTATTTCGTGCTGACCAGTTCCACCGTTGCCAGGCGGTTTCAGTTCGAGCCGAATACGTTGGGTAGGTTACTCTTTCGTGATGATAAAGATGTTTTATCAGGGGGTTTTCAAGTGTGACGGGCTAATGAAGAGATGAGTTGGTGATTTTTTATATTTTTTGAATTATGAGGGAACGAAAGGCAAATGCAGCACAATAAGCGTTAATTTTCAAGATTATTTCCCGATTTCTGATCCTTTACTGGACGTTGAATTACCCTACACTGAAGAAAAAACGACCTTGTGCCACAATAGTATATTTCGTTACGAGTGCGGAAAAGTGTTTTTTTCCTCTTGGGAGGTTTATAGCACGAGCCGAAGGCGAGTGATATAATCCCACGAGCCAAAAAACACTTTTCCCACGAGTATCGAACGATATTTTTCATCACAATGTGTGGAAAAGGGACGTTTCAGGCGAAGCGTGCCTAAAAAGTTACTTTTTCGCACAGCGTGATGAAAAACTGATTTCTTAAACCAATGTGGTGCCATGACTATTCAACACAATACAAATTCAACACGCGATTTCAACAATAATTTAATCAAAAAACAGCAAATGATTTCACACTTTTTTTAACTGACCGTCACTTTATATATCAATTTCTGCAACACATTTGCATCTACACTTTTGCAGATGCGCTCATTTTAGCTATTTTACACATCTGCACTGATAGAAAGGATTAGTTATTGTTAACGAATGGATTTGGTTGAAGATGAGGGTCTATTCGGTCTCACCAAAAGTTCGTTCGTTAATAGTTAACAAATGCATATTTCAAAGGCCTTGTTTGACTCGACTTTCACCTTTCAAGTGAACCATTCGTCAACTATTAACGAATATTTTTTGGTCATATTCAACTCTACCATTCGTTAATAGTTAACCAATCTCGTTTGGAATAAATGAATCATTCTATCAGTGTGATTCTATACACTTGTCATTTTACACGTACACATTGTTTTTTTCACGCCAACAATGTTTTGCACAGGGCAGAACTGCGCACGTGATGTTGATGTTTGTCTCGAACGTAGCGATAGAGAATGTTCGAGACGCGTTACATGAATTTCGTTTCATTTTTTCAAATTTCATTTTTTTTCTGACAGTATAATGCGACGATGATCACTCTCTTCATTGGGAAGTTTTTTCCCATGTCAAATTTGTAATTTCGCTCAAGAATGTAATCGTTGTAGGATCATGGTCAAGATTCAGGAATGTAACATAAATGGTTAAACTTTATTGGAATAATAAACGGATTTAACTATAAAAACATTTGAATACAAGTCACATAGACTTTGGTTATCAATAAGGAGCTCATTAGCTCTCGAACTTAACGCGTCGTCTCCTCATCGAGGACTGACTCATTCCTCAGCCCAATCATCCCAGCATACCCTAATTTCTCCATACGTTTTGAACACTCTCTCACTCGCACTCACAGTCATCTCATATACTCTTTGTCAGAAACAATGATCTCTTTCATTCCGTCACCCAGGCCACACGCATGATCCAAACCTCCGTTCAACATAAACATTCGTATTTTCCAAACTGTCATTCGTTCCAAACACTTCTCAGGTCACACCTCAATATTATAAACTCAATCTCAAATCTACGGTCTCTATTTTGTCTTTCTGATTAATTTAATTGCCTTTCTGGCGACACACATCCGTTGATTCATACTTCATACTTTTTCTCTTCCATTCCACTGTTCACTTATTCCTTTTTTTTTTATTAAATCACGTTCACACACAACACTGATTCTACATCGTTATTACGAATTAATTTTCATAATTCTTCATTACAGAATGGCTGTCATTGGGAACTGATGGTCTTCTTCCATTCCTAATCGCGCTGCCAGTGGCCTACTGGGGTGACAGAATCCACCGGGCAGCCTGGACAGGCGGTCTCGTATTAATCCAAAGCGCTGGTTTCCTACTCTTCATTATCCTCCATTTCACCCACCCCTCTACCAGAGTAATCGAGGAGACTACTAATGTCACCCATCTCTCCCTATATGCCGGTAATTTTCCGGTACTTTTCATTGATTTATTGTGTATTACCTTGAATTGACTCTTACTTACCCCAGATTTATGGGAATTTTGGGGATTATATTCCATCTTCATTTGCAGAAGACAATCCGGAGCTGTGCACGCAGGCGGGATTAGCAAGGATCTCCATTATTGAAGATAATATGTGCTATATTACATTGACTATCATTGTCCTAGCGTTAATTGTCAATTGCATGGGGAACGTTGGATTCTTTGCACTGGGGATCTCCTATTTGGATGATAACACCAGGAAACGAAGTGTGGCACTACCCATTGCCATTATTTTGGGAGTCAGAATTTTTGGGCTTTTGTTTGGGCATTTGCTAGCCTGGGGATGCCTTCGGTGAGACATATTTTCTCCACTATGTTCTCTTCCCATCTGAGCCTCCCTTAAGGATGTTTAGCCAAAACCCACATTATTCACCATAATTTTGATACTGTCTCATATGCCAGGTTCATATTTGATCCACACGTTAGTAATAATCTTAATCCTTCCATCGGGGCATCCTAGCGAGAAATTAATTTCTGAAAATCACTGCTTGTAACATTACGCTTAGGGGAGAAACGTGACCGTGTGAACTTTGATCGAGATGTTGCATGGGTTAGACACTCAAGATATTGAAAAAAAACCACAAGTCATTTACTTTAGACTATAGAATCTATCGCCGGCGAGAACAAGTAGGGGACCGGGCCATATCGGCGTGATATCTTCGACTGATTTTCGAAATTCTCTAAAAAAAATTTGACCGCCATTACGAGTCGAGCAACGCGACAACACCGCGCATCAGCTGATCGAGTTCGGTAAAGTCGGTGACGATAATTCAGTGCTGGAAGCTAATGGACACGTATAACACACACAAACATTCGTCTCACTGTTACAACCCCACTACTAGCCGAAGCGTGCGATGTTGCCCGATCAAAATTCGACTGTTACCACTGCAGTCGCAAGTCCTCCATTATTGATGAACATTTTCTTCAATTATTGTTTTTGAGATCGAAAAAGAACGCCATAGCGCTTCTAATTTGATGAGAAAAATCATTTGTAACGTGAATGATTTATTTAGTCAATTTTTTTTTTCAATTGATCCCCGTACGCCGGAGCTCAAACTCGGAGCTCACAGTTCTAAAGATGCAAACGCGACATCCCTTCGGAAGTCAATGATAATACTAATCGCAGCCGCGAAACTAAAAATTTGGTGATGTATCGAATAAATCTATTCAGGATGGATGCTGAGAATTTGATGGAAAAGGTCGAAAGCTACAGGGAGCAAATTGGGGCCTGGTGGATTGGATGGATCATTTTGGCGATCTTGCTGGCTATTCCGGGAGTTCCTATGTCTTGGTTACCTCGCCGACTTCCATCTGAGGTATTTGAGACCGTAGAATTATGAAGAAATTATTATTTAGGAGCACTTCAGAGAGTGCAATTAAAAGCTTCCAGCCAATTCTATTCTATTTTATTCTTCAGGAACGTTCTCTCCAAATGCATTCATCGCGGAATATTTCCATTAAATTCAAAAGAGAGAAATACCACAAAATATCAATCGTAATAATTCATGATGGCCTGAAGCTGAACCTAGCGAAAGATTCACAGCTGAAGACTTGTCTTAGGCAAGTGTAGGGGTGTACAAATTTTTTAAAGTAATGTGCAAACTCTTTCGCACTTAAAAAACATTTGTACATGTGATTATTTGACTCGCCTACACTTAAAGATCCCCTGAATTGAATTTTTCGCTAACAAATATCCTGCTAGTTTCAGCTTCATCATGATGACCTCAATCATCTCACCTTGATATATAAATTTTTCGTCCCTAGGCCCGAAAACCGCGATTCAACCGAGCGAGGCGAAATTCTAAGAGAATTAGAATTTAAAGAGAAAAAAATCCCGCGAAAAAAAATTCTAAGAATTTTTTAAAAAATCGGGAAAAAATTCTCAGAGAATTAGAATTTGCTGTGTAACCAATAGGTTTAAGCTTGAATAAAAAAAAAAAGAATTGGAATTTAGAGAGAAACAATCCCGCACCGCCCAGCCGGGATTCGAACCCGGGTCTCCCAGTTACGCGACTCTCCCAACTAAGCTACGGAACTACGGATATTCTCTCTCCGAATTCGACTCACATCGCCGCCTAACTACCTTTAGGCATTTCGCTTCACTTGACTCGGTGAAATCGCCAAGTGAAGCGAAACCGAGCCCGAGCGGTTTTCGGGCCTAATGACAAAAAATATTGTTCGACACATGTCCGGGGGAACTTTCCTACCTCATATGACTGCAGAACTCGCCCTCGGCTCGTCCTGCAACCCCATATTCGCCAGAAAAGTTCCTCATGACCTAGTGTCGTACTATTTTCGTTCTCTAGGTAGTCGAGCAAGCTGCAGCATCGATTGTCTCAGAACGTGCCGGCAGACGGAGTCCCCTTTCGGAGTCATCCCTATCAGAGGACTCCAGAAAAGTTGGCGATGCTGGTTACTTTTCCTCCCTCTACCGTCTATGGACGAACAAAATTCTGATTTGCAATATTTTCGCGAGTGTTTTCTGTATCATCGCTCTTGTCAACTTTACAAATAATGAGGACATCATCCTCGAGTCTGACTTCTATATTCCGCGGCCTTCTGGATTGCTCTTGGGATTCGGAGATCCTCTCACCTCCAGAATAATTGCACGTGAGTTTGTTAATTAAATATATTGTTAAATCACCGGATTACTTATAAACCTTACATAATGATATTCTTTTCTCATCCAAGTTCTTCTGAGACCGGTCATTATTGGCGCAGTAATCATCATTTCTGGAATCATCATCGTCAAATTTCGACCTAGAGTTAGATGGCTGGCAGGTTACAACGTAATTGCTGTAATAATTGCTGCGACAATAGTTCTGTCCTTGGCGTTTCTATCCTGCGAAAAGCCAGCGATTGCCGGTGCTAATCGAAAAGGATCGTATGTATCAGTACAAAAAAATATACAGGGCGCCCCAAAACTCATCGTATTAGCCTAGGAGAAGTCGAAGGGATCATTTGGAGCCGAAAGCTCTACTGAATTTTTCATCTGCGATGCTTTGTTTATGAGTTATCAAGAAAAACGACAGCAAATCAAACGCTATTCTCCGATAGAGAAATGGCTAATCGATTCCAATCAATTTCAAATAAGATACCTCGCTTGTTGCGCCCGAATTCAATGAAATTTTCATTTTCACTGAATGAATATCGATAACTAATTAATTTATGTGTTTAATGTTCTGTTCTTTTCTCTATAAACACGACCCCGCGTGATAGAATGACAGCAGATATTGGAGGATTGCTGGTGGACTCGATAATAATCACAAACGAAAAATTATGATTTTTCGATGCGAAAGTGAAAAAAAAATTGATGTAAATTTCCATTACTTGAAAAAAGTGGTGTGACCTCCCCTCAAGGTCATTAGGTTCTCATGATCACTTCGTTCGTCCCTCCCGTTTGACCTTTATCACCATTTGGTCCTTATAACTACTCTCTTCCCGTTGAAAAATGACCGGGGCCATAGGTATCTTATAAGAAGCCCACGGAACATAAACATTCGGGAGGCGATACAAGTGCCGAGAGTGGGGGTAGACCTCGAGCGCTCGGAGCGCGAGGTATCTTATAGAGAGGTATCTTATACGAAGCCTCTACTGTATTTTCAATGCATTACGGCTGAACTCAAACTCCATATGAAGAACACCTTTTCAGAATAAACTACTAGAACTATTCGATATGTACTACCCAGATTTTCAATTAACTTTAAAATTGAGGTACCAAAATGCGCCAAAATGTCTTATCTAGATGTGTTATTACCACCAGTTTATCTTTTCTAACACTGCACTTTCTTGGGAGGGTTACAGAAATTTAAAAGGCCGAGAGGTCATACATATTGGATGAATAAACCAACTCTACAGGTTCTTTTCAGGATAACCCTTCTGAGATATTGCAATAAGGATTGTCGCTGTTCTCGCGACGCAAATTTCCATCCTGTGTGTGACAGCAAAGGTTCCCTCGTCTTTTACACTCCCTGTCATGCCGGATGCACTGGAGTGGATGACTCTGGAGATATCAAAAAGTATACGGGTTGCAGTTGCATCAGAGAAATCACCGGTTTGACTGATATAACGGCGACTGAAGGTCCATGCGATTCAACGACGTGTCAAATTGGTTGGATTGTGTTCGAGGTGAGATCTTCTCCTTTTCACCCCCTAAACCGCCCCGAAAAATGAACTTTCCACGCAGCTATTGCAAAAATTCTTATTTGCAGGTGAGCACAATAATCGCTTACTCCCTGATCTCCTCCGCTGCTGTGTCGACCCTCCTAATTGCCCTGCGCTCGACCTACATCCAAGACAAAGCCCTAGCCATCGGCCTGTGGATTTCCCTGACTGCGCTCTTCACGCACATCCCTGGGAGACTCCTCTACTGGCTAATTGCCGAAAAGACCTGCATCCATCGAGGAGCAGCGTCGTCCCTCTGCCTTCTTCACGACTCGCACACTCTCGGAGCCTACCTCGCTTACCTCACAACCTTCCTCCTCCTGATTGCTGTCGTCTTCGGAGTACTGACATTCTTCTTCAGTCAGGGATTGAAGATCTATCGAGATTCCGAAATAGATCGGTACGATTCTCACCACAGACCAGAACAGAGGGTTCCTCTGATGCAAGAACCACTCCCTGCTGCCCAAGCACGTCAGGACGAGCCTGAAGAACCACATGACGACCCAATTGGAGACGTGACCACTGCCACAATCGATGATCACCCAATCGCCAACGAGAACGAACAGAGAAACGAACGAACTTCGACTTTAGAAGAGGACCAAATGGCAAAAACTCCAGCGAAAGTGAATACTCATCTGAGATACGGTCCCCTGGGCCCTGGGAATCCCAGAATCACGATGGAGGATTTGAAAGAAGTGAAGCTAAAGCCCATCAGTGACAGCGATGACACAGAGGACGAGCACTCGTTTACTGACAGACGAGCTCCAATCTCCTTGACAACGATACAGTACAAACGTTTGGAGCTACACTCCGATGCTGACACCAGCGATTCTAGTCCTGAAGCACGAAGAAGGGTTACGACTCTCCAAGCATCATCCTCCGAGCTTTCCAGAAAGCCTGACAGCAAGAGAAGTCTGGCGTCAGGAGGGAATACACTGGCTGGATTCTCCAAGACTGATGACATTGAGTTCACGAAGTGGGAGAAGGGTAAGAAAAAAGAGAGACCTTACACGGGAGATTTCAATGAGGTCGGCATTCCCATTGTCAATTACGCATTGACGTCGGTCAGTTCGAAGAGCATTGGGGCCTTTCTCAATTCTCCCAAGTTTTCGGCTGAACCTACGACGTCGAAAAATCAAGGAAATGATTTCACATTGCAAGAGATATCCAGGGACGTCAGTCGGGGAATGTCACCTGCGGAGCAGGCTTCCTCGGGTTTTGGGTCGTGTGCTTCCGATTTGCATAAGACTACCGCTGAATTATCAGCCCGAAGGCTAGTTTTAGAAACTTCTGAGACTGAAGATTCTAGTACTAAATCCAGTATTCCAGCGAGCAAGAGAAGACCAAAACCTTCGTACTCTACAGCACTCTAATTTTCTATCTTCATTTTGTATTTTTGAGACAATTCATTACTTTTAGTCATCTATTAATTCGCATCGTAATAATGTAGACATATGGTTTCATATTTATAATAATAGCGATTAGTTACGTACTGTAATTACATCTTCAACTCGAATTATAAATATACAAATTTTTCTCAATCGCACTATTTTTTCAATTTTTTCGAAATTAAACTAGGAGAGGGTAGGGCAAAACGGACCGCATGGCAAAATGAACCCATACGGCAAAACTGATCACTGAAAGAAAATTGTTAATTGTTGTTTTTGCTTCAGAATAGAAACAAAAACAACAATTGAAATTCGACTCCTACACAGCTAATTTCGGTTTTTTTCATATAAAAAAATGTGGGGTTCGGTGAAGGATCGAAGGGTTTTGTACAGCGAAAGTAACTTTGGTTTGCACCATGAGAGTTGGAACGAGAGTGAGCTCCCGCGACAACGGTATTAGATCATCCGATCGAGGATGTCCGAATTATTACGAATCGTCGCGAGGATGTCTTGCGACAATGACAGCGATATATCGGCGACACGTGTCACGGTACGAAATTCGGTTGCTAAGCCGAGCTCGAAGACAATACATTGAAATGGTGTGAAATAAATATAAAAGTAACTTCGCTACAAAAAATTCACTATTTGTGTAAAAAAATACAGAAAAAACAAATTTAGCCATGTAGGAGGCAAATTAAAAAAAAATAGCTCGTAATTGTTTATCCACATAGTCTTCCGAACATTTTGGAGAAAAAAAAATCCTTCGTAGCTCAAAAATTGGAGGTCCTGGACTGTTTTTGGTATTTTAAGGGTTTTCGGGCGAACGAACAATAACAAAAATTGTATTTGCACTAATTCTTTTTCAGATCTACATAATCGATCTCCAACGTATGAGAAGTCTCACTCCAATAACCCACGACTTTTAAAACTCATAGTAGTCTCCCCTTAACTGTATCAACTGAAAACTACGAGACACTAGACATCAGACAGTGAGAAGAAGCACGAATCTACAGTCTCTGAAACACAGGTCTGAGACTTCCTAAAACTCTATGTTCTTGGAACTCGGCTAAGATTTCGGCATGCGGACAGGTACTCTTTTCGTGGCAACGGTCGGACTCTTACTGACGTAAATCAATGCGGCGTTGGACGACTACATTGTTCAACACTATACGCCGTCTTATAATATTCATTAGGGAAAACTCCTATCAGTTGCAGAAAAGAAAAAATCCTATTCGACGAAACTATTCTCGCACGAATAAAAGTTTTTTACTCGGAGGCTGCATCAATAATTCAATAACAACGCGCGGAATATGATGGGGAATCCCCTCATCATATCGTTGCGGAGCGAAGTTGTTTATTATTAATTTGGAAACGTCTGGTGATATTCGAACCTCGTTCAAACTTTTTTTGTCGGCGCCGATGAGCCTACGGCCGAGAGAATGGGGGGGGGAGGAGGGATGTAGAGCAGTTGTCCACTTAGGCGCTATAAAGTAGAATAGAACTTTTGGTATTGAGCGTTGAATGACTTTCCTCTGTATCGGCTGCTAGTATTAAACATACGACTTTAATGCCCGTCTCTCCAGCCGAATAAAATTACTGAAGCCATTATGCGGTGACCACTGGCAACACTAATAATTATTAGGCGGAGGATATAATTTAGTAGCGAAGTGGTAAACGGTTTAAGTCGACTTATCTCTTAGTTGAGTATTTGAAGAATATCTCCGAATTTAAAGGAGATAATGAAGTTTTCGTAATAACCTTTTTTCTAGAGCAAATTAAGGGCTACAAAAAAGGGTTGAACAAAAATTTAGCTATCTCCCTTCGATTCCGTGATATTCACTGAAAACTGGTCAATAGTCAAAATCTACTTAAACCGGTTTACCACTTCGCTACTGAAATAAATTATTATTTTGTATGAGCGAATACATGCAACCATCACTGAAACACATTTTTCTCGAATATGGTGAACTATATATAGCATTGTCAAAAATTTCGTCCTTTGATATAGAATTGAGTATCGAAGTGGTAAAACGGTACAAGTCAATCTTGACTATTGACCAGTTTTCAATGAATATCTCGGAATCTAAGGGAGACAACGAAATTTTTGTTATAACCTTTTTTGAAGAGCCGATTAAGAGCTACAACAAATGTAATTACGAATATTTCGCTATCTCCCTTAGAGTCCGAAATATTCCTCAAAAACTCAACTAGGACAGGAGTCGACTTGAACCGTTTTACCACTTCGCTACTGAATTACTGAATGCTCGTTTTCGGAAATAGGAGTCGAGGGGTAGTAGCACAGTCTATCCACGTTATCCCTAAGTTGGCTGACGAATAGTACAGAGATCGATAAATACGTATGGTATTGCCGGGACAGAAGAGACTTACCGATTACAGCTACGCAATGATATTACCAATCGTAGGATTACCGACATGTGAAATTTTCTCCGCGATTCTCTGAGCTATCGACAATGTTGATTCCAGATGTCTATAGGTACTTATGATAAATCGATCCGTTATTGGCGCAATAATATCCAGCAGGACCATCTAAATAGCGCGAAGATTGGTGAACATGCACTGTAGGAGACGGCAGACCAAAGTTCAACCTTTGCAATCGACCCCAAATCCCAATATCTCTGTTTACAAACAAAGACGTCAAGATTTCAAATCTGTCTCTCTCTGCAGAGCTCCAAACGGATATTTCGAAAAGTATTACACAGTTGGAATGAACAGGCCTTCGCAAACTCTTCCACGAATGGACGAAAAGTTTACCCGAAAATTAGTCTGAATAGGGGAGTCTATCCGTAGCGAGCAAAAATGCCACAAACGCTTGCTGAGGGGATGATCGCGTGTGCACCAGGGAGCTCTACTTGGCTCTTCACTGTTCGTCCAACATCTAGGGTATGCGATTCCCCCTCCACGCATGTCATATCATTAATTCATGTCGATATAATAGACGCATCAATAAGATATTATCAATACCGAGAACTGAATAGCAATGTCGAATATTTTCCATTACTAAGTGATGACGGAAAGTCAACGGGTTTCGATTATTCATAACTAGAAGCGAAGACGAAGGGTCCGCCAGTTCATACTGAAATCGGAAGCCGAACAAGACGCTTAGATGGCGGGCAAACGATATCCTATGGATAGATCTTACGTCGTAAACAACTTGAAAATACTCACACTTATGGGTGAGACTGCCGACAATCGATCATCGTCAGTGCATTTTGTATATTCTAACAATACCGAATATATTCTGGAAAACAGGTTTATGGAATCCGTACAGTGGTACAAAAAAGTGGTTGTATCATATCTACACAATACTTATCCCATTGCTACTGATGCCGATCCGATCCGTGGGATTCGTCAAAGAAGGTGTAATAATGCACCATGATTTCATGCGATCGACATTATCCCTAGTTGTTGGCTTGGCATACGTTTACAGTTGGGTAAAATGTGTAAATTTCATATGGAATCGTTCAAACATCGAACTCCTCATAGATACGCTTAATGAGGAGAGAAGACTACCATGCTCAAAAGAGACCGGCAAGTTGCTCAGCAGATATGTAACTGTACTTTTGGTAGAGATCAAAAGTAATTTTTTTGCTAAAATTTACACTCCCACTTCTCAGCCCTTTACGGTCATTACTGTTTACTGCAATTCTACTAATTACTCGAAAGAATAAAACAGAAGATCCAGAAACCTCCATTTGTACCAACGTTTCGGACAGACAAGGTGTCCTTCATCAGGGCAATAATTTATTTTGTATAAACAAAAGTACCAAATCATATATTAATTTTATTACAATCCTATTTCAACTAAATTGCACAAAATAATTGCTTGAAGTACAAAGAAAAGTATTCCAAGGTAAGGTATTTGAATACTTTTCTTTGTAATTCAAACAATTATTTTGTGCAATTTAGTTGCAATAGGATTGTAATAGAATTAATTTGTGATTTGGTACCTTTGTTTACACAGAATAAATTATTGCCCTGATGAAGGAAACCTTGTGTGTCCGAACCGTTGGCGCAAATGGAGGTTTTTGGATATTCTGTTTTATTATTTCGAGCAATTAGTAGATTGCAGTAATGACCGTAAAAAGCTGAGAAGTGGGAGTGTATATTTTCGGAAGAATTACAAACGGTTGGATAAATTTATGTAATTTTTTGGGTATGCCATAATCACATTGTTGAATAAAAGTTGATTTTCAGCTCAATACAGGAACAGGATTGTTACTCACGCAATACGAGTATCTACAATATTTACGCTAGCATGGATATACGAGATATTTATCTGCTTACCATTTTTCTACATGGATGAGTTGATTAAGAGTAATAGTACATACGAGAATTTAGCAATACGGTACTTGATTATTGCACTTCAGGTGTGCAAAATTCTATATGATTAATTTTGCAGTTTTACTGTGGATAAAAATCTTATTGGAGGAATAAATGTGCGCATCATATCGCTAGCTGACTGTTTGTTTGCAATTCTTACTGCCTCTACTGTTGTATCAAATGACTGTTTCTGCCTGTGCCAGATGTACCATATTACTAATCAACTGAGGTTACTCAATTTTCGCATAGGCCAATGCTGTTCGATTAACACAGATTCTCGGGAAATTGATACGCTCCAAGCATCTAATACATTCGACTTTGAGTGCGGTCCTATATATTCACAAAAATGGAATGTGACTACCGTTGGAGAGCTTATCTTTTGTGTTCGGCATTATCAGTATATCGTACGGTAACTGTTGGTTTGGAACAATTGCTGCACATAAATCTACTAAGCAACTATTACAGAATGGTGAAAATAACGAACAAAGTCTACGGACCTATTCTATTACCACAACTGATGACAAGTTTGATCACAATATCTTTCGCTGCAATTCACATATTCGTGGTAAATTATGTTCATGAACTGATAGAATATGGTATTGTTGTGAGCTGCATTTGGTTAGACTTTTGTTGCCTATTTGTTGGTTCACAATGGAAATTTATCGAAGATCAGTTAAATCGCATCTTAGTCAAAAATCCGTGATGGGATCAGTGTCTGATTCATGTCCTCCGTTAGCCGGAGATTTTCCAACAAGTATGAAGGATCTGTCTCACACGGATTTCAGATGTGCGCTCCAAAGTGATCTGTCTGAGACGGATGTTCGTGTTTATTAAACAACTATGTCAGCCAGACCAGTCCGTTTATGAATGTGCAATTTGTCCAAAATAAACGTTCACAAATTTGTGAACTTCAATACCGAATATTCATTTAGTCACATTCAACTCTGGCATTTCTTAAAAGTTAACAAACTTCGTTCACATTCAATGAATCATTCTATCAGTGAAGCAATGATATTTCAAAGAATGACACTATTAATCAATTATCAAATTCATTAAGACGAAAACAGTCAACTTCGACGAACCTGGTGCCGCACTATTCGCAATTGCGGTTACGATCAGCTGCCTATTCCAATTATCGGCCTACTGTTGGGGAGGTGATGGTATAATTATTGAAAGTAATCGCACGAGTACAGCGCTTTATACATGTATCTGGTATGAACAAGATGCAAAATTTCAAGCTAATTTGAAAATTTTCTTTGCAATGTGTCGGAATACGCTTATTGTGAGTGCTTTTGGACTCTTTGATCTTTCATTGGTCACACTGAAAAATGTAAATAACATTCAAGTATGTTGTTCGTTATTGCAATGATTTACAGAGTGCCTCATATAAAGATGAAGAAACGAATCAGTATAAGTTTTTGATCATTAAAAAACAAAAGAAGAAGTCTGTGAAAGAGTCAGAAAAGTTTATGATGTGCAAGGTTTGCACCCAAGTACAGCCCACTCATTAGATTCCAATCCTTGTGATACTTGTCACTGGGGTTACATGATAGATCGATCTTACGAAGATCACCCGGAAGGTCAAGCGCCTGTCGAAGGTCGGAAAATTAACGTAATGTCCCCCGCTAATATGTTGAAATATGCCGGTTGCATTCGATTGTAGCCTCGACTTGGTCACTATCAACTTTAAGTGGTCAACCATGACCATTGACCACGTTCGAGTGCAAAATTACCAGAACTAAAATTGGCAAACCAAATCTGATAAGTGCGTTCAGTCAAGGCATCGACACCGTCAACTTCACATAGTCTTTATGCGCGTGGACAGCTTCCTTACCTTTATCGGAATAAAAGAGTAAAATATAATGAAAATTTTCTTTTGCCCACTGCAAGTTGAAACTCACGCAAAATTAACTGTTGTAATTAACATAATATTACGTACAATATACACGATGTCTCTTTATGAAAACTGAAATTACTTTTCCATTAACCCACACTGAGAGAAAAATTTCCTAATACGTAGACCATATTTACTTGAGAGAAGTAAATTATTTTCAATGGTTTAAATCTCAGAATGTTTGTGGTTCACGGAAATAGTGGAATTGCATAACAAAAAAATTATAAAAACAATGAATACTTGGCAATTGGCGATTCTTCTACGCGATTTGAGTGAGTTCATTTGCGACAAAATCATACTCGAGTACAATCATATTTCAAAGCATGAGACCTTTCTCGGGCCACATGAAACATGAGTTGAGATGTCTAGTAGAATTGAGCAATTGAAGAAAAATTACTTGTCTCAAGAAAATATGTTTTAGATATCACAAATTTTTTTTCTCAGTGCAACAGTGTTCACACATCGTTATGAGGCACTCTGTGTGGGCACACCCTTCTTTTTTCCTCTTCATTCTTATTCTCTCGTTCTGATTAATTATCGATTCTACTCATATTTCCTAGTGTGTAGCTTACCTTAACGTACAAATACGCAAAATTGAGTTTATTTGACCGGCCAGGTAAAATTGCTGTGCGGCACTGGAAATTTTGCGGCACTTTATTTATTATCTCTGTTATTTTATAATTCTACGGATTTTTGCTTTGTAACGCGGTGATTCTTCTTGGCCAATCAAACAAACCTTTTTTACCAAGCCCTCAACCGAATTCTTCTTATATTTTTTCCTCCACACAGCCACGTATATATCTCAATCATTTCTGTTTGGTGTACAGGTACTAATCAAGTCCTATTCAGCCATGGCTATCATAAGCAAGGCGAACTCATAATCAATGAATTCAATGATGATAGTGTTATGTAATACAATTCATAATAATACAATTCATTTGAAAATGTAAATAATTATCAAAGAATATTAGAATGAAATCAATCCTTGAGTGAATTAATATAGAGGGTTCTCTGGCTTTCTTTCAAAACCTGGCAAATTGTCACAATAGAAATCAGAAGATGGATAAATGTCATGACCCTGACGAGGGCCGCACAACATCGATGATAAAGTTCGTCACAATTACGGTAGATTTGGAAAGTAAAGAGGAATCTAAAAAGCTGGACAAGATTTTCGAGGAGCCAAGTGATTAATATAACAGTTTCAGAGAAAAATTGGTCAATTTGCCTAATTAAATGTTTTTCCTAGGTTTCTGTTTATAGAGAATCATGGAAGTGAAGGGAGGCGTCGCAAGAAATTGACAATCTCCATAAACTCATTACCAAAATTCACTAAAATACTCCTACACTGCGGTAAATTGCAGTAGTAATAGTTGAACGAATAAATGAACAACTTTTACCAATTGCGTATGAGAGTCTTGTATCACCAAATCACCTTCTCAAACCGTCTCAGTAGCTGGCCTGAAGTGAGCGAACCCTCCGTAACAGTAACAGTTAGTAACAATTAGTCCAGTAACAGTTAGTCAAGCAAGGGCCCTGAATTAGTTGAGCATGCAAGTGAAACGAGTCAGTCATCGTGGAACTGATAAACCGATAAACCGCGATCTAACCGAGCGAAGCGAGCGACCGACGACAGTCGGTCATGTTCGCCAGCTCGCTCACTGGCGGGAGAATAGAGAGTGGGAAGTGGTGGGGTGCCTTCAATTGCCTCCTCTTTCTAGTGCACCTCTCTCTCCGACTCGTGCGTGTGACGGGTGTGAGGGATGAGCGCGTCAAACGCCGAGTGAAGGGAAAATATCGAACAATGAGAGTGGAGAAAATATGACATGGAACACATGACTTCACAATCATATAAATAAAGTTTTATTATGTAGCCAATTAATGATCTCATCACTCAAAACCTTCCACAACTCCACCAGCAATTTTAAATGAACCCTTTTCCCTGCAGATTCATTCATTTCATTTCTTCGAAATGACTGGTAGTTCAATATCTTCGTCGAAAATGTTCAAATCCTTGACGAAATACCAAACCCCAACGTCGAACAATGTTCCAATCGTGACGAAACCTGGAATCATTGAAACAAAAATTCAAATAAATTAAGATAAAATGAAAATTAAGATAAAATTCCCATAAAAATTTAACCTTAGATTGGTCACCACATGAGGGAAACCTCGCCGGACGTCGTTTTCCTTTAATTGCAATTGACTGGCTAACCGGAAAAATTCCAAAAAAATTGACTTTGTCAATTGAAGTGTCAAAACAACATCTTCCTCGAAATTCTTAAAGAAAACATTATTTTTTCCCATGTAGAATGAAATTTTCCGTCACGCGACGTTGCCGAACCCTCGCTAAACGCGCCCGGGCAGTGTAGAGTGAATTCGGCAACGTTAGAGCCTAAATAATACGGCGGGGAATCCCCGCGGAGGTGACCAGAGTCGCAGGTTCTTTGGTGACCCGACTAGGATTAACATGGCATCGGAGAGGTACTAACGAAAGGCGTGGGCGTTTGTACTTCTATCGGGGCTTCTGACGTTCTTTGGGCACAAAGCTAATCAAACTTAAACATAAACCTGAACCAATAAATAACTTCAGCTCCGTGATGTTATAAATTCGGTGAAGGTTAAAGGATATTAAAGATTAAATTACGATGCTGATTAAATTATTTCACTTCTTCAAGCTCTTGACGCAATCAACATCTAGTTAACTTACTATCAAGTCGAATAGAGTAGGAGCACATAATTCGCACAAAAAACATTAAAACATACACAACAAGGACAATTTCTGCAGTGGACCTCAACCCTGCGCCAAGGAGACCCATTCCTTCTCCAATATCCTTTGACCTTCCACCTAATAAACTCAAACTTACTTGCAGCAGTGAGGTTCATCGAATACCTAAGTAATTCACTGTCATACAGCCAGCAATTTCCAGTTCCTGAACAGGTTTTCCCCCAAACTAGACAAGTATTATCTGAAAAACAAGATACCCTTACATTGACGGGCCAAATCAGAAAAGAGAATGTCCGTCAGACTAACCGATAATCGAACCGAAAAGCAACGGTGATGGTATGAAAGCGAACAGTCCGATGATAGTCATGCCGAGAGCCACAGATACGGTTTTGTCAACTTCCTTAACACATCTAATAGTGATTAGGAAGTTCGAAGCTCGCGAGGAGGAACCGAAAAACTTGAGAAGACAGATAACAGCTAGAAAAAGATAGAACACTAGTTGGCAATCAACTGGGCAGGGTCCTGACGTTGCAGTTCCAACAGAGTACAAAGATTCTGGGACCTTTCCAATTTTGGTTATTCTATAATTCGGTAGTATCGAGTTAGCATCATTAAAAGGGACGACATCGTCTCTTGATTTGATGCATGAACAATTGGAGTAGATGTTCGTGCCATCGGACTTGACCTGGAACCAAAAACTGACATCAATCAATTGATGGAATCCTTTTGATTCTGATACATAGTCGTTGTTCTTTTTTTTAATTTCCTGACCCTAAAGGAGGAAGTTATTTTATCGTTATTTTACATCGCTTCGACCCGGTTGGGGTGTGCTGGGATGATAATCAAGACTTTAAATGGTTAGATCTCACCATTCGAAACCTTTCGCATGTGAGGCAACAATCTTACCCGCTGGTCCAAGCCACCGGGCAGTCGTTGTTCTGATTAGAACTGAAACAACTGAATGCAGTCAAGGCTTTATATAAGATACTGTAGGGACAGTATGAGAGTGGAATTTTGAAAATCCGTGTACCCCCACTACGCGCGCTTGTGGAGAGGAGAAAATTAGGAATCAGTGGTTTAAAATAAGATACTTCGCTGGTTGCGCCTGAATTCTATAGAATATTCATTTTTACTGAATGGATATTGATGACTAATCAATTTATACGAGTTTAATGTTTTGAATTTGTATAGCCTGCGTTCCCTTTTCTCTCTAAACATAATCCCGCGTGATAGAATGGCAGCTGATGTTGGGGGATTGCTGGAGGACCTGAAAATAATCACTTCTGAACTGCTGAAGTAGCAATTATTGAAAGTACGTAAATCAATTGAATTTTAATTAGGCTTTATTCTATTAAGATAATACTGCGTCATCATTTTAATAATTATAGCGTCAAAGAAAAGAGGTGACCCTTGGATTCGTTTAACCCTTCTGATTACTTCACTTGACTCTCGCGTTTGAACTTTTGACCCTTAAGGTTATTTGACCCTTACGATCACTTCGTTTGTCCCTTCCGTTTGACCCTTAAATCCATTTGATCCTTATAATCACTCTTTTCCCGTTGAAAAGTGATCGAGGCCATAGGTATCTTATAAGAAGCCCACGGAACTAAACATTCGGGAGGCGATGAAGGTGCCGGATGTGGGGATAGGCCTCGAGCGCTCGGGAAGTATCTTATAGAGAGATATCTTATATGAAGCCTCGACTGTATTTTTTAAAAACCCTGGCAGATCGATGGCTAGTTGACCGTTGATCGCTGATCGATGATCAGTCCATCGTCAATTATTGGTCGATTGCTAATTGATCTTTAGTTGATAGATGAGCGATCAGTCATCATGATCCACTAACGCTTGACTGAGTAAAAAATTCAATCCCCCTATCGAGTGATCCATCAGAAAAATCAATAAAAAATCTAAATACCGTGACTGTTTGACATCCCGCATGGCACGCGGAGACGAATGTTCTTCTGTCCTCCGAGCACACAGGGTTATACGTAACATAGTCACAATGGCATTCTCCATTACACGAGGACTGTCTCCCTAGAGAATCCGACACCATCGCCTGATTATCATTAGCGGAACATCCGAGAAAAACGAACGAAATTATCGCCATAACCGCAATGACATCGATAACGATATTCCAGATGGCCAAGTATCTGGCCTTTGGTTGGAACTTCGAGATTACGATGCCTGCGATGAGAATCCCAATAGCGCTGAAGACCAGACCGACTGTTCCGGTAACTAAGGAAGCGAAGGACGCTGATTGTTTATACTGAGTCTCTATGTATTTTGGCATGAAGATCCAGTAGGGATGGAATCCTAGAACGTAGAAGACACCTGCGAAGGTGTTGCACATCAGTATTTTGTTAGTCAGGAGGCGTTTGAAGGTTTGAAACATGTCTTTCAATGAAGCTGGTGTTTCCGAGTCTTGCTTCATCTGATCTTCGGAACTCTGACGCTTCAGGTGTTCTTCGGTGTCGACTGATTGAAGCCAGGTCTTCTTAATCACAGGCTGATTCATCTCATCTGATTCATCTGGAACTACTACGTTATTGGTCTTTCGTTTTGTCGAAAGAAGCATCTTCCTGGCCGCTGCGCGAGGAAGGACCTTTGGGTAAAGGCCTACAATGCTGCCGAGGACGAAGAGGAAGACTGCAAGAATTATCCAGCCCATCCACCAGGCTCCTAACCACCTGTTGCCAAACAAGTAATCATTTATTTTGGAACGAAATTGAAAAGTAAGCAAAACCAAAACACTATTTCTCATGTCAACTATCGCTGGATTCATGTCGGAGGCTTAGGAAAGTATGATAGTGACAACAAATGGTTTCAATCTTATATATAAAGGACAATTTCCAGTAGACGGTATTTTAATGGACAGCCCAAACTACTGAAGCTACAAACATTTGAAGACTTTACAATTGAAATTAACCGACACGTTTTTTTTTTTGGACATCAACTTCTACGGATGTGCATCATAGGAAGATCTAGAAACTTCCAGAACTTACTAGAAACTTCAAGAATTTTCTAGAGAATGACTGAATGTTTCTCAACAGAAAAAATGATTTCCTAATGATTCAAACTTTGAAATTTCTAGGAAATTTCCAGGAAACAGAATTTTTAAAAAATCATGGACGGTTAATGTCTCAACATTCTGGTCGAAATTTATGAAATTGAAAGTGAAGCAATTTGATATTAACATTTCATTGGCTGTTTAGTCCATGACTTTCCAACAGTCTGTGGAAAGAAATTGTTTCTTACCAACAGTCTCTCTGCAATAAAAGAAGTGGATCATCTGCAAATATTTATGACACATTATGATTTCAAGAAAATCACCTCGGATCTTCTGGAGTGATCGTTGGTCTCATTGTAGGGCTTATATAGAACTTCAGAGCAAATGAAGCGAGAGAGTATCCAGCTGCGGGTCCCAGAAGCCTCAAGAAATATGAAAAGCTCACCAGTGCTGGTGTCTGTGCTTTTTCAAAATTATCGTCCATGTAAGAGACTCCCAACGTCCCAAATAAGCTACTTCCTACTCCGCCGATCAACTGGGCTATGAATAAAATAACTGGTGGAGCGAAATGTCCATCCGATTCAACACATCTGGTGGTCTGATTATGATCTAGATTACAGAGAAATTTCGTCTCTCTATCTTCATGCTGTAATTCGTTGGCGTCTGGTTGATGATATGATCGATTATACTTTTTCGTTAGTTGGAGAGCGTCCTCACCGGGACCGTATAAAAAATGGGGGAGCATTGATAAACAGCAGTATAACATTATCTGTAAAGGAGAAGACACTTTATAGAGCGAGTAATTTATTGCATGGTACCTGGGTCTTAGTATCTCCGATATGATGTGGCGTAGCAGCCATTTTTAGCTTTGGCGAAATTTTCTAAAAAAATTCTGTCCCCTTCAATTAAATATTACATCATATTTGACGTTTTCTACGGTCAAGTAATTTTTTATTACTATTCAATTTTGCTTCCTACGTCATGCATACATCAGAATATTTTTATATTCAATTTTAATAATAAATGAGAAACAATTCAGCAGCGAAGTGGTCAAACGGTTTAAGTCGATTTTGGCTATTGCCCAGTTTTCAATGAATATCTCGAAATCTAAGGGAGATAGCAAGATTTTTGTTATAACCTTGTTAGTAGCACTCAATTTGCTCTACAAAAAAGGTTATTATGAAAATTTCGCTATCTCCTTTGAATTCCAAAATATTACTGGAAAACTCAACGAAAGACAAAATTTACTTAAACCGTCTGACCACTTCGCTACTGAATTAATTTGTGAAAAAAAAGTGGCAACATCGGCCCGACATAATACTTTCTTTCTCAGTGTTGGTAAGCTTGTCTCGCTCTACTGAGGGTTCTCCCTGTACTTAACCATGCGCATAAACACGTGTACATTTTTCCAGCGCGACTCCTTTATCCGAAAAATTCATTACCCACGTCGTTCTAATTTCCTATTGATGAGAAAAATAATAGTTAATGAATCTCAGGGCCTCTCTGTGAAGTAACCTCAAACAAAGATCAATTCAGATCCACAACTTTCTTTTATACACGTTTGAATTTACCGCGGTTATCCCCTCCCGATCGACAGGTGCGGCGTTGTCGCCGTTCACATCTGTGCGCGCATAAATTCTGATTTTTAGGGGTATTTTGTTAAATTTGGCTGAAAGATGTTCTGAACCGATATAATTTTTCTTGCAGAAGCTGTATTTATCAATTTGTCACACGTGAACGAATTTTCGTGATATTATCTGCATTTTTAAGTTCATAATGTGAATTTTTCTACATTTGCCATAAGAACACGGGTTAAATTACATTTTTTAAATAATTTATTTCATTTGAACCATCCTCTGCAGAAATCTGAAACTCCACACAGGGTTTCGGAATATATCGAAGAATCTTCTTGAAAAATTTCATAAAATTGGCAATATTATTCTCCCTCGTTAGTTCAGCGTTAAATCTTTGTTTCCAATCAATTTGTTCGGCATAATTTAATTCTTCAGCAATTGCTTATTTTTCACATTGAGTTTATAAATGAAAAGACCAGTTCTGAGAGCTTCCATTTGACTTATGAAGACCGTAGAGCCTACGATACCTTGAACGCGATATCGCTCACGCGATAGATTTGTAAATCGTTGGTTTTGGATCCAAATGGAAATTCAAGGCCATTGATACAAACACCACTATTAAAATTCGCAAGTGTGACCCATATACCGTGCATAGTTCACATCCGTCAATACGACGTAATGGGAGCGTAGATGTGGCAACATCAGGGATGATTGACGGTAAATAATTAAGATCTGAGGCTTCACCACTTCACTGCCTGGTTGGGATGACTGCACTGGGAGGAAAAACTACTTTTGACAAAGAAGGTTTATTTGATTCAAGAAAACATTCTTTTGTCAATTTGAAAAATCGTGAAATCTTCTGATGAATAATTTCGTTTTCAGACTGAGAGAAAAAAGTTCTCGAATAGAATGAGATTCTCTTGCTCCGAGAGAATTTCTAAGCGTTCTCAAGACTAAAAATGATGTCATTCCCATAAATTCATGAAATTTCAGAACTTTGATTACATAAAATCTTGCACAAAGAGCACAACATTTGAGATCAATTTTGTAAACACTTGAATTGATAATGAAAGTGTTCGTCGTGCAATCGAAACAAGAATTCCTCAGTTGAAGATGATGAGTGATCACACGGAGAGAAATATTCAGTAAAAATTACGGAACAATTCACGTAATCCGCAATGGGGAATCGTTTTCCGGCAATTTTTATAGGAATGGAAGAGAGAAAATCTGAAACGTTCAGTGAATTTTCAAGTTCATAACCGAACAAAGCACGAAATTGTCACGTAATTTTTCCCGAAGAAGTAAAATCTTACAGAATTAAAAATACAAAATTAAAAATTCTTGAACGTTCAACAATTTTTATGAAGCTGGTGAATTGTTTCTACGTTCCGTTCCGTAAAATTTCTCAATCGTTAGGAAAAAATTACGGAACAACTTGTCCCCACAGCGGTGAGACATCAGACGAGTGGTTAATTTTTACGGAACAAATCTTTGAATTTACGTGGCAATTCGTACAATTTCAGTTCCGACTCACACTTTTTATTGAATTTTACTTCGCTCGCGGATTTCGTTTCGAAACGTAATTTTGGCGTTTTTTTTTGTACTTTTCATTGAATTTTTCTCTCCATGCAGATCGGGAAAGTGTGAATTCTCACAATCTATTAAATTCTAGATATAACGCCAACGATATAAATTTATAGGAAAACTTATGCTGACACTTGAAAATTGTCTCGGGACAAGAGAATCTCATCCTGTTGAAAGACTTCTTTCTCCCAGTGTGAGAAAATTATTTACAAAATTATTTACCAGGAGATTTCACGATTCTAGAAATTGACAAGAGAATATTATTTTCTCGTATCAAGAAATTCGTCTTTGTCAAAAGTAATTTTTTCTCTCGGTGCGCATGATTTGATGCATCTTTCTGGTTTCATCTTTCTCACCAGGTAAATTCCAACAGCCATCCATCTTGGTCGATGTCCTTTACCAGCGTAGTAGCAGTATACAGATCCAAAAATTTCTGATACATCCGTGCCAATTGTAATGAACCCTACCGATCAATTGAAGTTTCCGTGAAAATGATAGTGCCTCTGAAAAATTCTGGAAGCTTCCTACAATTTTTACTGTGAACTCACCAGTAGTTTTCGATGATATTTTGAATCTCCTCTCCATCGTGGTGATGGTGCCATTGAAGTAAGCATAACTAGCGGAAAAAGCGCAACCGAGGATGCCGTACAAAACTACATATGCTCTTTTATTTGCGAATTTTTGAAAAGTGGGACCACGAAAACACCAAATACCGCAGGTCGTCTCCTCTACGTCTTGTGATTCTTTTTCGATCGCATTTCTGATACAAGTGGACGCTGCATCCGAGTCCAGAAAGATCGGAGGAGTTTTCCTCGACGTATCGGGAAGAAGTTGGCAGTCAGCATCATCTTTTTCAGCTTCTATTTCACTCTTTGTATTTATCATTCTGAACTCCGATGAATCGTTCAATGCAATTTCAGGCTTTTCGCATTGTTCCGATTTTCAAAGGAAAGGTATTGATTTGTCGAATATGACTGATGCTTCTCGTCCCAAATTATCAAAAAGACTAATCGCTTCAATGGCTACATCGGGGCGAAACGTTGCCCATGATGAAGGATAGAAATCATGCACATCACCATGATTTCTGTCAATTTAGATGAGAAAGTTATCGAAATAATTGATATGTAAACATCGAGTTATTCTATCGCTAGATGTGATTGTGCAAATGTCAGGAGGACACTAAGGTATTCGCACAGATGCACTACACCAAGAGTCACTGGAGCTTCAACCGTTTCATCGCTTGCGGGGGAAGGGGAAGGAAGATTGAAGTAAAGTGTCGGTGGAATTAGATAAAGACTTAATCATCAAGATGTGACACTTTATGACAATTACACGGTTTGACGGAGAAATTAGCGTCTCTACCTGAAATATACCGGGGTAATCCACAGTGGGTCGGACTTTCGATTGCCTTGGGATCAATTACGAACTCAAATGTTTATTTGATCGTTCAACTGACCAAATGGCGACACAAAAATTGAACAATTTATATACTGTTGAAAATTTTCCACTGAAGTTTCCGGTAAGGGTCTTGGAAATTCCCAACAAGAAATATGTCCACTTAAATTTCAAGGAATTTCGTCATTGAAAATTCACAATTTCGGGGGAAAATCCGTGAAAACTGTAAATTTCAGTTTAATTATTCCGCGAAAATTAACGAAAAATCAGGAAAATTCAGGGGAATGTCTTCGTAAATTCCAGATTCTTCTGAATTTTGAGGGAATTTCTTCAAAAATTCCTGGAATTCCAAGAATTTAAAAGGAATTTCCGGAAAAATTAAAGAGAATTTCGCAGTGAATATTCAATTTCACGTGAAAAACCATGTAAATTATGAAATTTCCGTTTTCCTGCCGTTGAAGAAACTGGGACTTTGCATAGATTTTCAGACGAAATTACTCGAGAATAATCACAGACGAAAAATTACGATTTTTCGATGGGAAAAGTGAAAAAAAAATCGATGTATATTTCCATTGAAAAAACTGTTCCATTAATGTTAGCATTGTATTAAAATATTTTTACATAACAACTGTTGAAATTTTGTACTGAGAATGACGATAGACACTTCAAATTTTTTTATTGTACATTAATACGCACTTTTTTCATTAAAAAAATGTTGGAATATCTTGTCTAGTGCTGAAATTTTTAACAATTTATGTCCAACATAGTTTTTGGATTTCCAGAATACTCAGTATATTCGTAATAAAGTATCACATACTCGATCGCTACATGATTTTATAACTACACGCATTAACATAGTACGTAAATGTATGCTTAAGTTACGCTCGGAGTCTTTATTGCTTGAATTCATCTGAACTCATTTCCCCACTGAAGCCAATTCCAGACTAGAACAGTTCCGATCGTCAAACTAATTTCGATTCATTCGTCAAGATGAAAAATTTTGCTCTTCTATTTTCGATTGTCCAGGGTCTCCCCATTCTCCTCGGTTACCTTTTCCAACTCAATTTCATCGTCGAATATTTTGACGTCCTTTACGAAGTACCAGACGCCAACGTCAAATATCGTTCCAATAGTGACGAAACCTGAAAAACATTCGAAATTAGACAAATAATCACGGTTTTTTTTAGTGAAAAACGGACGATGCTGTGGTATTGTTTGGAAGCTGTATTCACGGAAAAAAATCCTCGCATGTGGGTATAATAAAGATTACAAATAACCATATCAGTAGCAAAGCGGCAAAACCGTTCAAGTCGAATTTGACTATTGACCAGTTTTCAATGAATATCTCAAAAACTAAGGGAGATAGCAAAATTTTCATCAGAATCTTTTTTTTAGCCCTCAATTCGCTCTACAGAAAAGGTCATTACGAAAATTTTGTTATCTCCCTTAGATGCCGAGATATTCCTCGAAAACTCAGCTAAGGGCTGAGTCGACTTGCCCCATTTTACCGCTTCGCTACTGATATCGATAGATAAAATAAAAAAAACCAAAAAACTCACTTGCTGCAGTAAAGTTGAGTAGATACCTAAGGGTTTCGCCATCGTACAACCAACAATTCCCCGTTCCCGAACACGTTTTCCCCCAGACAAGGCACGTTTTATCTGAAACCACATACGTCACTCACTAGAAACGATTCTCGCCCACTTCCACCGATTACAAAATTAAACCAACTTTAGCTATGAAAATCATGCAATAGAGTACAAACTACGCAATGTAAGTTGTGTGCTAATAGATTAATTACCCAGGATGAACCCAAAGAGTATAGGCGACGGTATGAAGGCAAATAGGCTCATAATGGTCAAACCGAAGCCCATGGCCACTGCTTTGTCCTTCTCGTCAACGCATCTGACAGACACTAGGAAATTGGAAGCGCGTCCTGTGGCGCCGCTGAACTTGAGGAGGCAAACTACAGCCAAGAACAGATAGAACTTGTGTTGGCAATCCACTGGACAGGGTCCAGATGTTGCTGACCCTTTATCATTGAGCATGTTATTATGTTCTTCTGCTGTCGTTGTCCAATTACTTCCTGTCATCGCGTCAACTGGATCCCATGGGGCTCTAGTGTACCTCGATTTAATGCAGGCACAATCAGAGTATTTTTTGGTGCCATCAGGCTTCACCTAAGATCGAAGAATATCATTGATCAATCGATACATCATGCCTCTTCTGACCAAATCAATCAAAAAAGTGGCGACTTAGTGCGGGTTGCGTTCGGCCAGTTTTGTACAGTCAGAGTCAAAACATTTCCTTGGGCGATACACTACCGCATATCTCAATCAGTTTCGAAAACGGACAGATATTTGGTCAGGAGCGTGAGGATTCAAATACCTTTTATTATTAAAAGTAGGAGAATTGTCTAGAAGGATCGTGAGGGACAAAGATCAAGTGATGTTTATCTCGACCATAAACGGTTTAGAACTTTCCAGACGCGTTATATGAATTTCGAAATAATAATTCGTTGTGGCGTGCGCCTCAAAAAAATCACCTACCGTGAGCGTTTGACATCCAGCATGGCAGGCAGATATGTAGGTTCTGCCGTCCTCAGAACATACAGGATTGTATGTAACGTAATCACAATTACAATTATCAGTGCACGAGGAATGTCCCCCTGGACTGCCAGCCATTATCACCTGGTTGTCATTAGCAGAGCATCTTAAGAATGCATACGATATCATTCCCATCACCGAAATTGCGCCAACGATGATGTTCCAAGCGGCTAAATACCTCGCCTTAGGCTTGTACTTTGAGATAACAAGACCAGAAATTAAAATGCCGATAGCCGTGAAAATCAGGCCAACTGTGCCAGTTATCAGGGAGGAGAGTGAGGCCGATTGTCTGTACTGAGTTTCGATGTATTTCGGCATAAAGACCCAGTACGGCATGTAACCCAGGAAGTAGAAGACTGTAGCGAGGTTGTTGCACATCAATGTGCTGTTAGTCAGTAATCGTTTAAAGGTTTCCATCATGTCTCCTAAGGAGGCCGGTACTTCTGATCGATTGTGCTCAATGTCTTTAGAATCATTGTTCCCTTTTTCGTCTTGATTACTTGTGGACTTACTCCGCTCAAGAGCGAGGACCTTTCTGGCAGCTGCTCGAGGCAGGGTCTTCGGAAAGAGGGCAAGAATGCTGGCGAAAATGAAGAGGAGGATCGCCAGGATTATCCAGCCCATCCACCATGCTCCCAACCACCTGTTATAGGAAACCAACTTTACTTTTTAACGTTATTCATTGCAAGAAGCATATATTCGTACAAATGGCCATTGCCCGAGGGCCTTTAGCCTAGAATACACTTCTTTTGTTCACTATCAAATTGCCTCTATCAGAAGCTGTGCATGTGATTCAATGTTGATGGTAATTAGACGTGAGAAGAGAAAAGAAACAAGAGATATGAAAATGGTGATGAGACTCCACTTTCGAAAATCCATCTTACAGGAATTGTTATGAGGTAAATATGAATAGGATAAAAGTGAAGAGCGTACGATCTGAAAATTATTGAAGATGAGCTACTTCTTCTAAGGAGTTATTGCCAAATTGCTCAATCCATATAGCCTTTAGATTTTCGAATAGAGTGAGAGAAGGTATTTGTACCGAGATTGGGCGTTCAGGGTGCGCTTGTGACAAAGGTCAAGAATATGGTCCAGCTTGTGAAGCGCGAAATTGGTTGTTAGTTTATTGAGTCTGACTAGAATAGGTTCGACTTGGGTGCGTGCATAGACTAGGGTGTTTGGTGGGTTGTGAAGGGGGTTGTCAGGATGCTAAATTTTGGTCATTTGGTTGGTTGTTTTGACTTTTGGTTATCCTTTCGGCATCACCGATGATGTGTTGGGTCCCAGATCTTGCAAAAAGAAGAAGAGGGTGTGCATAGTCAAGTATTGGACGACATATTGTTTTATAAATTTTGGTGATGTGTTTCGTGTTGAGTCCTTTGTTCTCGTAAGTGAGGCTTCGGGATTCGGTGCCTCTCGAAATACACTTCTTCTTGATGTTGTTTGCATATGCCTTCAAGTTGCGATTGTAGGAGATCAATTTGAATAGAAAATTGGTAAAACTGAGTTAGCATGATACTTCTTGCTAATTATTGAATTATTTTGGTGATGAGATGGCATTCCTCAAATCCTAAATAATCATCTTTCCAATGAAGATTGCACACTTCACTTGACGTAAAACGTCAACTGAAGTGGAGTTGAATTACTTCTACAGGTCTGATTATACTTTTCCTGTTTACATTCGAATAAGTTTGAAAAAAGCCTCGTTGTCATTTCATAGATGACTCCCATCTACCAACTATTGTAAATATCGCGTTTCTGACGTCAGTTTACATGTTGATCTGCGATCAAATAACTGCTCTGTTTATTCAGATATAAATGATTTATCTAACAATGTGTTCACTTGTATGTCATTGTATCAATCAGTTGGAGATTCATCTTATCTGGTGAACTCTATTTTGATTGATTGGATTATGAGAATTGATTAATCTCATTGAATTCTCAAGTAATTTCATTACAGGTTTTTAAAGCATCGTCATTCAAAAAGTTATGGGTAAAATTGTCGATCGTAATCCCTTGAATTGATCGAACGCTCTGGGTTATCACCGAGAATTTTACCAATTGGTTCAGCATTTATTTCATTAAAACTCATTTGAGCTGTTCACTCTTTCAAGCAAGAAACATAATAATGGTAATAAACATAATAAACATTGGATATTGTATTGATTCTGTATGTTTTTAGAATTGTGAATCTTTAAATAAAATTGGAGAAAAAAAGTGGTAGCGTGTCTACCTACAGTGTAAGAGGTGGAAAATACTTTTCACAAAAAGATCTGCTACGGATTTCGACTAGTAACAAGAAATTCTGGGTTATCAGCGGTAACCGCGACAGGGGCTCCTAGACTGCTCCGTGATCATATCAAAAATCAAGCATTAACAACAAGAAAAGCCACAAACATTCAATAAATATCTGAACCGACCCTGTAATAGAGTCCATAACTCCCCTGACAGGGGGTAAATTGATTGATTTTCAGTTTCCAATTTGGATATAAATATTTGCTCACAAGATCAACAATCTCTAGCTTGGTAGACAGAAATCGTTCATAAAACATCCCATACTCATTCCAATGTTACTCAAATACTCCTCCAAGGTGACATCTTAGATAATAATTCATTGATTTCGAAAGGTGCATAAAATGATCGCAAAGATTTAGCAACTCCGAGCGACACAATTTATCGGAAAATGTCTAGACTACTATCGTCCGTCATCAAAGCGTCAACATTAATTCATTAATCTCTATTTACCCAGTGATATTCAATATCTCATTTCGTTCGATGAAAAATACAATGAGTGGAAATTATCGAGAAAGTGATTGCATTGTTATGTAAACCAATGTGATTACCTCGGATCTGTTGTGTTGATGGTTGGTGTCAGTGTTGGGCTGATGTAGAATTTCAACGCGAATGATGCTAGTCCATAGCCAATTGCTGGTCCCAGCATTCTCAGGAAGTAGGAGAAACTGATCAATGCTGGGGTCTTTGATTTCTGGATGTTGTCGTCCATGTAGGAGACACCTAGGGTGTAGTAGAGAGATCCACCTATTCCGGCTACCAGTTGGGCGATGAAAAGAAACACTTGGGGTGCAAAATTGCCATCCTCCTCGTCGCAATCAGTTCCACGGTGCTCCTTCGCTAGACATAAAAATTTTCGCTCCCGGTCTTTGCCTGGGAGAAGGCCCGTCGAGTTTGATGCACCTGTCAGACTTATGCCACCGTACTCCTTCGTCAATTGTAACGCGTCTTCACCCGGGCCGTAGAGAAAGTGGGGGAGCATTGTTAGGCAGCAAAATAGTACTACCTGAAATATTAACGGAACATGAAGTTTTTCATTAAATCGACGATGACTGATTGTACATATCGTGAGGGTCGCTTGGGGGAGTTATTTGGAGACGAAATGACTAATGCAATTTTTGTCTCCGGCGTTGTGTTAAGGAGTTCGTCAACAAAGCAAAAATCCACTGCTAATCACCCGCTATTTGAAAATTAATATCTCCTCTCGCACTTGGGCTGGAGGAATGAAACTGATGGCAATCGATTAGGCATTTAATGCACAATGATCTGAAAAAAATTGTTCTTCTATCATCATGCCTGGGTGAGGCAACTCGCAATAAATTTCACCGCGGCGTAAGAGCCATTTGGTTCCTACACGCAATGTGACCCTAAAAATCAGAGTCAATGAAAGAGGGATGAAATTGATTGGAATCGATTATACATTTAATGCTGTTATCCTTCCGCCTTAAATGAGAAAGAGGATATGATTTCTCTATCGGGGAATAGCGTTTGATTGGCTGTTGTTTTTTCTTGATAACTTGTAAACAAACCGTCGGAGATAAAACATTCATCAGAGCTTTCGTCTCCACATGACCCCCCCCCCCCCCCCCCCCCCCCCCCCCCCCCCCCCCCCCNGATGAGTTTTGGAACACCCTGTATATTCTGAAATTGGGAAACCTAATTAGCCATTTGACCCTAACTTTCCGCACATTTTACAATGATTTTATTATCTAAACTTTGCAGACCTGAATTTCAATTTCGATATTGAACCGTTAAAAAACATTTAGAAAATCTGAAAAAAATTAGAAAGTCAACTTTCAGGGAAGATTGATTAAATAATTAGAAAATTGTAATTTTTTAGAATTACAATCTCCAACGTTATTTTCTATAATTAATTTATAAATAATCGATTTTCCACCATAAAAATCACTTGTTTGGAATCGTAACAAATTTATTCATATTCAGAATTTTACCAGAAATCGATTTCATGCCTAGAAAAATAAGGTTTCCGAAAGGGCGAACAATTTCAATTATTCATTTATAAACAACGAATGTTTAAAAATATATAATTCTGTGCAAAAAGTAATTTGAATGAGGCTAAATATTCATGATTTGTTTTTTAACTTTTTCACGCAATTTAATCGGCAAATTTTATTATTAGAAATCCGAATTAAATTATTACAAATTATTAAAATTAAATTATTAAAAATCGAGTGAAAATTGATATCGCCAAGGTGTCAACGTGAACACGGTAATCAAGACAACTTGGAGTAAACAAAATCCACTTCATACCAAAGTCTGATTCAGAACTGAGGGTGAACCGAACTCCAAAAAGAGTGTATTTGAGCGCTGAAATATTCAACCCCTCACACTGGGGACGTTAATACCGATTTTTTTATGGTGTCCCTCTCATTTAGATAAACTGGAAATTTCTGCCTCATGAACCACCCATTAATGATTCTCAGATTAATGATTCTCACTGACATTAACCACCCATTAATGATTCTCAGTTATTTTCCATTCAAGATATTTCGATACTAAATTTGTTTATGCATTCTTCATTTAATCTGTAAGTAATAGACTTCTCCAAAAGCTCGAAAGAAAAACAAAGTTGATGGGAATGTAACGAAATCTGTTCATTCGTCCTCTTAGTATTTCTAACTGTTTTACAACAAATATGTCAATAATTAGAAATTTTTCTAATAACATTGGTTTGCAGCCTTGAAAACCTAAAAAAATTGACACCTGATTTGGAAATGTGTAAAAGCCTAGTCAGCAACAATTTTCAGCAAAAATATTATCAATAATGAAATATTGGAATTTTTAGATTGAAATACTTATACGCATACTTCAAAAATGGTTGCAAGTTCAAAAAATGAGGGTCAGAATATAAAAGTAAAAAAAGTGGGTGTCAGGTAATGAGGGTCTAAATATAAGTTACATATTATGCTTGATCACCGATTTTAGCCCTTATACGACCCTCATTGCCTGACACCCACTTTTTTTACATTTATATTCTGACCCTAATTTTTTGATCGTAATATTCTGACGCTCTTTTTTAACCCTAAAATTCTGACCCTCATTCCTTCACCTTTACATTCAGGCCCTCAGTTTTTGACTCTAATATTCCGACCCTCATTTTTTAACCTCCACTTTTTGACCCTTATATTCTCACACTCAGTGTCTGACCCTTATATTACACTTGAGAGCGCTTGGTACAACCCGGGCTGATACGAAATAATCATCCTCGAATTGAAGCACCCATCCCCCATTCGAGTATAAAGTATACTTGAATCAAGTATATTCTATTCTTGAATCAGGTTTATGCATAAACTTGATTCTGATGTGAAGTATACTCAATTCAAGTATATTTTTTTTCCGTGAAGGTCACAGAAAAAAATATACTTGAATTGAGTATATTATATACTTGATTCAAGGATGTTATTCTTGTTTCGAGTATAAAATATATTTGATTCAAGTTTTTTTTCCGTAATTTTGTAATAAAAATTAGAAAATCAAGGCACAAAATTCGCACCTCTACCCCCGAGTTTGATGGATTCTGACGATAAAACCGCCAAATAATTCTATAAAAAGCCAACAAAACCGTAAAACTTACAGTATAAATACCGAACGCTATCCACCGCGGTCTGTGTCCTCTCCCAGCGTAGTACGACAGTACGACGGACACCAGAAGCTGGGAAATGTCATTTCCAACCATAATGACACCTGCACATTAACCCATCCTTTGAAAACACCCAAAACAGCCGCCTCTTCTTCAATTTCCACTTACCAGTTGTTTTCGACGGTATCTTGAATCTCTTCTCCAGTGTCGTGATGGTGCCATTGAAATACGCATAACTTGCCGAAAAAATACATCCGAGCACGCCGTACAGAAATACGTACGCTTTTTTATTGGCAAATCTCTGGAGATTGGGACCGCGGAAGCACCAGACACCGCAGGAAGTGTCTTCCGTTATTGGAAGCTCCCTGAAGACATCGTCAACACCTCTCACTGACGGTGTGTGCAACGTTGGACGCAGTATATCAACAGTTTTCGATGGATCCAACAGTAATTTAATCTCTGCGCTATTACTCTCTAAGTTCACGTCACTCTTTGTATTATTCATATTATCATCAATTTTTATTTGTCACCGAAAAACTCAAGTAAGAAATTCCTCTTATCCCTAGTTTAATTATCTTATTTCTTCATCTCAAGGATAAAATCCTCCGCATGATCATTTTCCTTCCCTATTGTCCACATATTCTCAGAATATCATTGTTTTTACGAAGATTCAACACTCAACTCATTTGAGAATAAATTTCCTAGTTAGTCTTGACTGTCCTTTTGATTCTTTTCAAATGACTTCTTTTATCGACTGAGGTACTAGCTTCTCGTATGTAATAACTCGACTATCAAGAATACACAACGTATAACGTAAATTCTAATGGAATCCCCACCGTTCTAGTACGTGGCCCGATGATTCGTGGGTTTTGATGCACATGGGAGGGATAAAGATGACACGAGTGATACTGGATATTGTAGGAATTGATAAAGACGTTCTATGATTTTTTTGCATTTTTTTTTTCATTCGTTCTATTTTCGGGGGCGAATGACAACGGTTTTTTCAGGTGAGATAATGAGAGATAAAGCCATGAAAATCTTCCGTCTCTCGGTCGTATTTTTGTGATGACACTTTGGGATAGTAGAGTATTTCATCGGATCGAAGAGTTTTTTTTTTCTTAATTAATTGCATTTCATGTTTGGGTGTTTTATTCGAGTTGACTGGTGCATAGGGACCTAAACTGGGTTCTCTGTTGCAGGAGGCCGTCCAAGCTATCGTAGACAAACCGTCTTGACTATGAGCTCACATTGTGAGTCTATTATGATTTATTAGAACGAAGGCCTCTGTGTTGGATGTAGTAATACGCACTAGCATATCATACGGATGATACAGAATGTGATGACATGAATGGAGAGTATGCCGTGAAGTAAAAAATGTTTTTTCACTCGTAAAGGAAAATTGGGAATAATGTTTACTGTAGGGAGAAAAAAGTTGGAGAGAAATTACCGAACAAGTCAAGTAATCGAGGAGCGAAATCGATTTTCTGTACATTTTCTCGCGATATTGAGGGGAAAATGCGAGAAAAATGGGGAATTTTTGTCCGTTGACTCGGGAAACTCTACGGAACGTGAGGGTAATTTGTGCTGAAACTGTATAAGTTATCCGGCATTCCATCAAAAATTATACCAGTCAACGCGAATGATTGCCCATTATTGCGTATAATTTTTCTGCAACGGAGAATGATTTTTTAGCAAACTCGTTCGGGAAAATTTCACTTCCATCCCTCCCCATGAACTTTACTGTACAGGAAGATAATTTTTGAATCCATAGATGACATTTTTTACCAAACGAATTGTAAAATATCCTCCAGAAACGGGTATTTTTTCATTAAATCACATTTCACTCCCGGATTACCTTTCGTGCAGTAAAATTTGCCACGATTTTCTAGGCAATTTTTATCCAACTTTTCTGTCCGTGTATTGGAAACACAAGGTAAATCATTTTTGTGATACCTGTCAGAAAAGTGAAGTTTTGGAAACGGTTTAGAGTACGTAAAGTTCACGAGCGTGCGTAAAACAAAGTTTTAATGACTTAAATTTTTTTTTCATCACTTGTGCGTAAAATAAAATTCTGCGTATGCTGCGCGTGCGCATAATGCTAATTTCCACCCATTGCGATGAAGAATAGGGGTCGATACTCGTGAGAAAAGTGTTCTTTGACCCTTGGGACCTCCCTTGGGTACCTCCCACGTAGCAAGAGCCACTTTCTTATCGCTTGTGCGCAAAGTAAAATTTCTCATCACACTGTCCGTGAAACGTCGTTCCATAAAACTTCGTGTCCGCCAAGCGCCATTTACGGATGTTGTAACGAGAAATTATGTTCCTCACTCGGCCGAAATAGCCATTTTCGTGACAAGACCGAAAAAAACTTTTCTGGCGAGTGTAAAGGTTGCAAGCCGAGGGGGAAACCGAGGAATGCAATCACACGAGTCAGAAAAATTGTTTTCGGTCGAGTGACGAACATAATTTTTTTTCACAATGTCCGTAAAACGACGTTTTACGGGCAGTGTGATGAAAATAACTTTTCTAAAATGTTTTTTTTGGCCTAGTAACGAAAATAGCTATTGCGTAAAGCGAAGTAAAAGTAAAATTATTCGTAAAGCAAAATTTTACTCCCTCGAAATATTCTTTCATGACTTGTGCGTAAAAGGCGCAAAATCCAACTTTAAATTCCCGATTTTTTCGCACATCGTGATGAAAAATAGAGTTCAATACTGTATGTTGTAATGCCGAAGTGAAAAATTCAACATTTGATAATTGATAAAAATGAGAAACCGATCAGGCGTAAAGTCAGGTCAGAGATCAGGTGTAAAGTTCAATTGGTCTTGTATGGTATGTACCTCTGGGCAAAATTTCCGTAAAATCGATAAATAATTTTAGAAATACAGAAATAAAAAAAAATTGTTCCCCAAATCTTCAAAACTACTCGTTTTGTGTACTAAAGGTATAAAATAGAGGTATTTAAATGATACAAAGTGTTGAAATTGAACATACATTATTCCACGATAACACAATCTTCGAAAAGCAAACAATTCAGTGGAAATCATCAAGGTCCCAGAAGGTGTACCTGAAAATTTCATTGAACTCAGAATCCAGGAATGACTCGTGAAAATTATTAATGCAAACAGTAGCAGTAATACAAGTGAAAAAAGTAGAAAACGAAAACTCTCCGATAACAAGATCGTAAATTCATCGCTTTAAATCGGCAATCAGAGCTGCACATGGAGGAAGAATGTACCAGGAAAACCTTCAAATGAACCGCCTGAGACCGAAAATAGTCGGTCCTTAAGTTCGGAATAAATTGTCAATCATCCTCATTGGTAAATTCTCCATTTTTGCTTCCGAATGGAAACATCTTAACATTGTAATCTTTCGAATTACATTCACATTCTCTAATTTTGATTGGAAATTATGTAAAATACTCTGAAACGTAAAAATACGAAGTTCGGCGACTTTTCTTTCTAACAAGTCTTAGAAAATTGAGTAATTCAGTGACTAAAGTAATGGCAAAAAATCTGAAATTTTGTCAGATTTTAAACCCTAATGTGGACTAACTCTGAGTAAAATTTCAGACAGATCGATCTAAAAGTTTTCGAGAAAAGGCGATTCGTTTTTAAATCGTTTTCCGCAAATATCTTCAAAACTCGTGAACCGATTTCGATTTTTTCATTTTCAAAATATTCGTTTCGATGGCTTCTAACTGAATCAGTCAAAACACATAGGATATATTCATTTTTTAAAAATGTAAGCACCCTTTATTAATGGTCCACGGTGGAAAAAATATACCACCAAAGAAACGAATCAATTTCTTCAAAATTAGAGCTCTGAAAAATCTTAGATGAAGAATGAGCCAATCCATTTTATCTTTCATAATTTTTACGACGGAAATTTATGAAGTGAGACGATGATACTGTACGTCAGACTTACGAGACGATAGAGTACTCCAGTGACATAACGAAAAATTACTCGTGTCAACGCACAGAGTCGAGTTAAGACACGCACGCGAGGTGAGAGAAGTAATACCATCCTTGTGCGAATGGCGCGATGCATGAATGAAAAATCCACTTGATTTATGAAATGTATATAGACGATTCGTGGGCTATTACCCCCAAGAGTTTGCTGGGTACTTTGACACGTTCATTGGGAAGTAGGGGAGGATGGGGCAAAACGGTCCCCCTTCAATCGTCAATATTTTCCGATTCAATAATCCGATTGGGATGAGTTAGAGCTCGTTTTGAAGAATGAANCGTATTTTTTTAAACAAATAGTGAATTTTTTTATATGAAAAAAACCTAAATCAGCTGTGTAGGAGTCGAATTCCAAAAAACTGGCTCGTAATTGTTGTTCCACACATTTTTCCGAAAATTTTGAAAAAAAAATCTTTTGCAGCTCAAAAATTGGAGGCCCTAGACTGTTTTTGGCATTTTAAGCGTTTTCGGGCAAACGAACAATAAAAAAAATTTTTTTTGCACTAATTATTTGCTTTCAGATCTATGTAATCGATCTTCAACGTATGAAGAGTCTCACTCCAATAACCCACGACTTTTAAAACTCATAGTAGTCTCCCCTCAATGTATTTAAGGTGCTGTTGTACGTATGCAAGGGGGGGGCGAGGCCGAAAATAATTTGATATATCCATTTAAGTGTTATTTACGAGTGTAAGGCATTGTCCACAGTGCGAGCATGGAAGAAAGATTTGTTCATAATTGCATTTTTACATTGCTGATGATAGCATTCAGCTAACTTGAAAATCTGACAAAATTAGTGAAAAATAAATCTTGTTCAATTGAATAAAATGAAATAAACAATGAATTATACATGATAGAAGGAAATGATGAGCAAAATAACCATTCGGAAGCATATTGCTCATTTATTACACGGAGAGAAATATTCAATGAAAAATGCGTATCTTTTCCGTAATTCCGGAGCGAAATGTCGTCGCAAGAAATTTTACGGAACTATCACGGAATTTTTCCAGAGCGTTCCGTAATTTTTACTGAACATTTCTCTCCGTGTACCAAAAATAACTATACTATATGCAATACAAGAGCAATTTCCCACTTGTTTTCTCTGATTAAATGAGAGAATAAAAATATGGGCGTGACGTCATAACATTCAAGACTCCCCCCCCCCCTTAATCGCGGACATGATTCAGTAGTGAAGTGGTCAATCGGTTTAAGTCGACTTAGCTCCCAGTTGAGTTTTTCTTGAATAACTCCGAATTTAAGAAAGATAGCGAAATTTTTGTAAAATATTTTTCGATAGCCTTTACTTTTCTTTACAAAAAAGATGTTTAGGAAAATTTTGCTAACTCCTTCAGAATTTGAGATATTCATCGAGAACTGGCGCTAGAATGGAATTGACTTCAACCGTTTGACCACTTCACTACTGAATTGTTGACTGCTGCCATTGGAGATTTTGGAATATTGAGTTTTTCATCATATTGTCGTATCCCCCTTCGAATCCCTAAATTGTAAATCATCTGAAAGATGCTTGTGAACCCTGTTGCGACATGATTGTCGTCTAGATCGGACGTCATTCACTCCTCTGAAATTACCCTGAAGAGATCATCGACTGTATTCTGCCGAATTAATTAATAAACTGTGCGCCCCAGTAATTTATTTTAATTACATGTCCATTTACATTATTTCGCGTAACGTAACAATATTTTGAATTAACGGAAAAAATTGTTAGTGACAGATTCAGTGGAAGCAGGTGATTTTGATCATTCGGAGAAACGAGAGTAGACGGTGCTGTGCCCCGTGTACGGAGCTATTGTGAGACAAGACCGGACGGGAGATTGGGATCGCCAGTATTATTCCTATCAAAGAATTAAAGTCAACCTGATAAAGATATCGGAGTCATTATGGTTGAAAATAATTTTATCATTTTAGGGAGTTGTGTACGATTAACTGATGGACAATCGATATCATGTCAAGCCGATTTCCATTTCATTTTCTTAAAAATATGAAGACAATTTTATGATGCGAATAAATAAAATTTGATGATTGATCATTCGAAGGGAGAGTTCAAAGAAGAATATGTAATCTATCCGACCAAATATGATAATATTGAAAAATGTGAAATGAAATCTCTCATCTTTTGTTTTTTTTATTGAGTTACTATATTACTGATAGTATGACTTTTCTCTCTCTTCAGCCTTATTTTCCTTTTCGTTCGTTTTCTTATTGTGAGCCCTGTGTACACATTATTTGCAAAATTCAATTAAAATTACGAGCGAAGTAAAATTCAATAAAAAGTGAGTCGGAACGGAAATTGTACGAATCGCCACGTAAATTCCACGATTTGTTTCCGTAAAAATTAACCAGCCGTCTAATGACTCACCGCTGTGGGGACAACAAGTCGTTCCGTAATTTTTCCCCAACGATTGAGAAATTTTACGGATCGGAACGTAAAAATAATTCACCAGCTTCATAAAAATTGTTGAACGTTCAAGAATTTTTGATTTTGGAGGCATAATAAGTTGGCAAGTTTCTGTAAGATTTTACTTCTTCGGGAAAAATTACGTGACAATTTCGTACTTCGTTCGGTGATGAACCTGAAAATTCACTGAACGTGTCACATTTCTTCTCTTCCATTCTTATAAAAATTGCCGGAAAACGATTCCCCATTGCGGATTACATGAATTGTTCCGTAATTTTTCCTGAATATTTCTTTCCATGTAGCTATTCACTGCCTCATTCTTGATTCTAGTTACTTTCTCTTATTTTTCTACTGCATAACCTTGTCATTACTTTATTTTGTACACCATAATGTGCAGTGAATAAATTTCAATCAATCAATCAATCAATCATCAAAATAATTCTCATTTCGATTCTATTTTCAAATCACTCAGATGCCCCATACCTTCTCCCAAATAATGCCCCCAGACCTCTCAGAAATGATGATACCCCAGAGTCTAAACTTTCTGACATGTCACAGCAACAATCTCCAACAAAACAGCAAATGTTTGACGATGTCTTCTCCTGAGCCTCCAGCGTGACGATCGATAAAACTGGCAGTAGGAGCTACTGTCAGCCACCCAATGTACCACGACCCCGGGAATTCATTAGTCCGGAGATCTGGAAGGCTTAAAAACTAAAAGGCTCTCAAGCAAAAACTCCACAGTAGCCATTCTCCAGCTTGCCCCCTTCTGCCCCTCATTCCCATTTCACGGGTTTCGTTTATTTCCGTTTGTTTTTTTTAAGCGTTTACCGTGCTGTGTATCGCGACGCTCTCCCTCTGCCTGGATTTGCCTACTTTACTTCCGCAAAGACCTCTCGTGATCCTGAAACGACGCCACGAAAACACACCCCCCCGATCCCTCTTCCAGAGAATTATCTGGAGACAACGAGAAGGAAAAATAATACTGAGACTTAAAATTTTATTTTTTGGCTTGTTTGTTGTTTCATACCGCTCTTTTTCCGAGGAGTTACTTTGGAGATTTATTGAGAGGAAAATACATTGCGAGATAGCAAGCGGGTTACAACTTTTTTTCAGGCTTGAGAATGATTGTTTTTGTTTGGCGAGTTATCACTGTGTCCTCTTGGATGAATACTTTACGCTGGTCCTCTTCCTCAGTGCCGTACAGATCGAGATCTTTGCCTAAGTGGCAGACGAATACGTCAAAGAGAACTCCAAGGAATGTGAAACCTAGTTTGAAAACAAACGTGAATTATTTTTTGTCTTTTAATAGCGCAAAACATTGTGAATGATAATTTGGTCGCGATTGGCAGAAAATGTTTTTTGACCCTTATGTCTACGACTCTATTTCCAAGATACTATAAATTCGTCAATGAAAGTTTGAGACTTTCAAGAAAAAACCCAATGAAACCTGATCAACACAGGCATTCAATCAGACATCAGTTATACGAATAAATGCACGCAGAAAATACCCCTAAGGGTGCCAAGTGAATTTGGTGATGACCTTGAAAATTGACATTCACCAACAAAGTTATAATTTTTTTAATTAATAGTATTAGACAGATGGTGAACATCGGTGACAATTTTAAAATTTTAGAACTTATAAATATCGAGAAATTAAATAAACAAAATCAGTCTTATACACGGCCTCTTATGGAGTTTTGATTAAATTGAACGTTTCAACCCCCTAGGAACTCAAGAAAAATTTGAAAAAATTTGAAGATATGGGGAATGATGTGTTCAATGTGATGGCGACAAAAAACAATGGGGTACCGGGATTGAATAAGAGAGATATTTCAACCCGCCGTACCCATTTGATCCCCTGCTTTCTCGATCTTCGTCACGCGAAATAGAGGATTTTCCGCAGTTATTTTCTCGATGTCTAGTTCCGGTTGCGGGTTTGAAATTTCGTCGGATGGATGAATACACATTTCTCCAATGATGGAGGGAAAGAAAACATTTTTTTTGAATCTTTTTTCAAATTCACTTGGCACCCTTAAGATACTTACACATAGCAGTAGCATTGAGAGACCACCGAAACTTATCCTTATCATAGTGCCAGCAGTTTCCATTGCTTCCACAGCTGTCTTCCCATATGAGACAAGTCTGATCAATAATAGCTCCGTACAAAATTGGTCCGGGAATCAATGCAAACAGAGAAACAAACATCAGGGTAACCCCTTGAGCAACACTCTTATCCCTCTTCTCGACGCACCGATAATTCACAAGGACATTCCCAATCTTGCCAGTGGACAGCAAAAACTGATTGATCATACTCGTAATGGCGAATATCATGTGAGTCTTCACGCAGTCGGCCAAGCAAGGCCCAAGCGTCACTGTGTTCTCTGGAGGTGTGACTGAGTAACTCTGAGTTTCATTTAGCTCTAGGTAATCAGGCACACAGCTGCAGTTACCAAAGGTTCGCGAGTCTATGGAACTCGTGCAACCTGCGTGACAGGCTGAGAAGTATGTTATCATGGATGTTCGGTGACATACTGGTGAGTATTTCACCCTCTCGCAGTTGCAACCGATGTTGCAAGCTGTTGTGAAGTTCATTCTGAAATAATTTCAGAGAATTACTTGAAAATTTTAGATTTTTCACCATTTGTCATTAGGCCTGCGCAGGAGACGAGACAAGACTGGACACACAAACAAATGTGAGCATTAATTACGTTTAAGGAGTCGTCTTTTACGCTTTCTGAAGCGTATTTTACGCTTGGAGTTCAAGCCTAAATTACGCATAAGTAAATCTAAAAATGCGTTTTTATTAAGATCGTAATTTACGATTTCTTAAGCGTGAAATGCGCTTAGTGAAGCGTAAATGAGGCTTTGTTTGGGTGTAATTTACGTTTTTATTTTGACCGTAAAATACGTCTTTTCAAAGCCTAAATTCAAATTTTCATCACGGAAAAAAACACTAAATATCATATTGGCATTAAGCGTAAATTACGTTCAGCAAAATGTAATTTACGTTTACGTTCTTCCTGTATACCAATTTTGAGAAGAAATTGTAGAGTTTTTAGTTTCAAATTTACTTCTTTTTCGCACATAATCTCCACGTTTCGTGATATTCTATATTATTTCCACGCAAAATTAGACAATCGTAAAAAACGACGATTACAAATCTCCCATTCGGACACAAAAATTGACATTTATTCGATGAATCCCTCAACTTACGTCGCAGACGTCGAATCAATCCCTTCAGTGGGCATAACAGGACAGCTGTTGAAAATCCAGACAATCTGAACAAGAACACAAACAAATCCACCCACAACATTCCAACTCAACAGCCTGGTTGGTCTAGGTCGCATTTTGCTTATGAAGAAGCCTGAACCAATGAATCCTAGCACCATGCCAGTCAGGGCAATAGGTCCTGTTGACAAGAAAATTCTCATAAAAAATTTGGTATTGAATTCTTCAACTATTTTTCATAATTAAAAATGCCCAAATTAGTCAAGTCAAAACTGAGCTCTTTGCTAATTAGGTGATTATTCAGAAAATGAGGAATGTTGCCCAGGAGGGCCACAAGGAGTTCGTTATAAAAATGTAGCACGATCCACACAGAAAAAGACTAAACGTAAATTACGTTTACCCGTATGGAAAAAATATATCCCCGGTACTATCCCCTGCTCACTCTGCTCGCCAACTCGTATACAATCCCCATAATTCTTATTCTATCCCTTGTGACCCTTAATTTGACTCTCGTGGCCCTCATTCTGACCCTCATTATACCCCTCGTGACCCTTAATTTGACTTATATGACCCTTAATCTGGCCCTTGTGACCCTTAATCTGATCTTCATGATCCTTAATCTGACCCTTGTGACCCTTAATCTTCTCGTGACCCTTATTCTGACCCTCGTGACCATTATGTTAACCCTCATGACCTTTATTCTAACCCTTGTGGCCCTTATTGTGACTCATGACCCTGATTCTGAACCTCGTGACTCTTATTCTAACCCTCATGACCATTATTTCGACCTTCGTAACCCTTAGTTTGACCCTCATGACCTTTATTCTAACCCTTGTGACTCTTATTCTGACTCGCATGACCCTGATTCTGAACTCGTGACTCTTATTCTGACCCTCGTGACCCTTATTTGGACCCTTGTGACCCTTAATTGTGGAGTCTTAATTTCGAATGCCAAATTGTTATCACCAGAAGTCGATTTGGATTTTTATAAAATAGAGAGAAATTATTTGGAACGTAAATATGACATCTATCTAGGATATATTTTTGGAAAAAACGAATATCCTAGATATATGCGAGAGATAAGTTTGCAGACATATTTGAAATACATCGGCGGATATATTTTTTTTCCACGCGGGTAAGAAGTCGTCTTTTACGCTTTCTGCAGCGGATTGCACGCCTGGAGTTGAAGCGTAAATTACCCTCAAAATCGCCGTAAATTACTATTAGATGAGCGTAATTTACGATTTTGTGTTCGTAAGTAACGATGATTTTTCCGTATGTTGCGTTTACTTACCTGTAATTAACGACGAAGAAAAAAAAGTTATTTTAAGCGTAAAATACGATGTTTTTTCATAAATTGAACATAAGAAAATCGTAAAATTACGTTTCTATTAAGGTCATAATTTACGATTTCTCAAGCGTGAAATACGCTTAGTGAAACGTAAGAGACGTTTTGTTTGGGCGTCATTTACGTTTTTATTTTGTAAATAACGCTTAGCAAAATGTAATTTACGTTTAGAGTTTTAACTTTCCGACTCAAAGGGAAGAAATTATTGTAATGACCCCAAAAATCCAATTTGGAATTTCCAGGATTTGTCGACGTTTCGTCACGTTCAACATAATTTTCAATGATTTTTCTGTATGTAATTTCCCCTGGCGCTTGTCATCGCCCAGATAATCAAAGAATTAACTGGACGAATCACATCAACTCGAACTCCTCGATCGCATTTCAATTGCTACAGCTACTTTCTTCCTACAATTATCAGAAACTGAAAATAGTCATGTCAAACGGACTTGTACGGAACACCTGTTATAACGGTGCCTCCCGCGGCGGAAGTGTTAAATTGGACCTCGAGGTATTTCGCCATGTAAGTCATGTAAGGAAGAAAACCAAAAATACTAAACACTGCACTCAGATTGTTACACAAAAGGATTTTGTTCGAAAAGACTCTTTTCAGAGTGACACCAAAATCGCTCAGTGTTGGAACATGCGCTTCCTCTTCGACAGTTGTTGTGTGAATTTCGATTTTCTCCACCGTTTGGATAATTCTTGGAGCTTCGACGATGCCCTGGACCCGATCAGTTATTCTCAACGGGACTTCACCTTCAGGCTGAACAAAAAAACATTAATTATTTCGTTTCATTTAAAACTACAACTGACAAAATGACAATTGATATGCTCTCATTTCATCCTTACGAATTACCTTATTATTATTCATGTTATCTTTCTTCGGCTTCTTGGGGAGATGCCTGGGGAACATTGCAATCAATAATGCAAATACTGCGAGTAAAATGCCCAGGATAATCCAGCCAAGCCACCAAGCACCCAGCCATCTTGGATCCTTGTCATTTATCACTGGGTGAAGATTTGGAACTATGTACAATTTCATGCATACGTATGCCAGGATAAAACCAAGTGCTGGTCCTGTTGTTCGAAGTGCAAATGTGATACCTGTAACGATTTACAAGGTTTTTTTTACGTTTAAATGAATCCAATTTTGAGTTGAAATATTCTTTTCAATGCCATATGGACCGATTGTTGAAAAATTTATTTTTTCACACACCTGCATAGAAAGTTCGTACTTTGCTCCCTGATGAGCGGGAGGAAAGTGAGTACTTCCCGCCCTCGAGTGAAAAGTTTTTCCCTCGGGCGGAAAGTTAAGACTAATTTATTAACAAAAATATAATATATTGACAATAAAGAGAAATTATCTAAAAAATTTTGTGAATTTGAAAACTCTTCTGAACTTAGAAGCAAAAAGTTGGATCAAAGTAGAGGAAAATCGCGGTAGAAACGAAACAAAGTTATTCGATTCTCAGTGGGATGAGGCTCGTACACACCTAGAAGCATCGGAGTGCTAGATTTCTTCGTATTGTCATCCAGATAAGTCTGTCCAAGTCCAAAATATAAAGTGGTCCCAATGCCTAATACAAATTGAGACAGAAAGACGAGAATTCTGGGAGTGATTCCAGCGTCTCCCATGTCGTCTTCGTCGCACTCTTCAGGCTCCCTCTCTCCAGGGCAGAGGGAGAGGTACTCGGTCGAAATGGTGACATTTTGTGGAAGATTCTTGTCTAAATGCTCCTGTGTGAGGGCAAGTGCAGCCTTGCCAGGACCATAGAGCAGGTGGGGAATCGCTAGGATGAGACAGGAGAGAGCACTAAAGCCAACTCCAGCTGCCAGCCATCTTGGACGGTGTCCAGCACCACCGTAGTACATTAGGATTAGGGATAGAATTTGTGAGATCTCATTGCCAGATAAAATAATTCCTAAGATACAGAAGAATATTTTAATTACTGCGCTCTGCTTTACAAGATAACTTTTGCATATTCGAAGACATGTTGAAAGTCGATAGAACATTGATGTAGAGAGAATGTTCATGTTAATTAAGTTGAAAGATTCAGAGGATGTTGGAGAAATAACAATAATGGCGTTTACTGTTGGAAATTTTTTGAAATTTCAGGGAAAATATGATGGTAATTCTCATGAGAGTGACTTTCAATCGGATTTATGGGAAAAATGGGTATGAAATTTCAAGTTTTAGGTAGAATTCAAAGAAATCATCAGTGTTCAGTGAGAGTAAGATGGAAATTTCGGAAATTGACTTAATTTTCAATGGAATATGAATATTTAGAAAAAAACTGAGATGAATTTTCAATTTTCTCCTCCATTTTCTAGACTTTTCTCGATTTTTAAGGAATAATTCAGCAGCGAAGCAGTAAACCGGGTTAAGTCGATTTTGACTTTTGGTCAATTTTTGATGAATATCTCGGAATCTAATAGACACAGCAAAATTTTTCTCATACATTTTTTATAACCCTTTATTGACTCTACAAAAAAGGTTGTAACAAAAATTTTTTTATCTCTTTTAGATTCCGAGATATTCGTCAAAAACTGGTCAATAGTCAAAATCGACTTAGCCCGGTTTATCGCTTCGCTACTGAATTGATCTGAAAAATCAAGTATTTTACTGTTTTTGAGATCATTCGAACAGAAAATCAATGGAATATTTGATTTTTCAATGACACGAGTTCCCGAAATTTCAGTGGAAATTAAACACGATAAAAATTTCCGGGACCTCGCAAGAAAAATCCAGACAAAAATTTTTAACAGTGTTAATTAAATTGTCTTAAAATGCGAAATTTCATTGGATTGCGTCACCTTCCTATGAGGAAGCTAAAATATTTGTAGTGAAACGACGCATCCTTCAACATTTTAGTCAGTCATTATTTTTTTTACTGTTAATTTACAGTTCGCGCTGATTTCTCCATAAAATTTTGAATTTTCAGTGACAAAATTCCTTGAAAATTCAGTGGTAATGTTACTTGTTAGAGAGTTTTAACAATGTATCTCGATTCCATAAACATCCCTTGAATTTTTCAACTCGTATACTCTAGTTCATGTCACTGCAATTACGAAGGAAACTGAATCAACGATTTTCCATTTTTGTTCACTTTTCACTTTTTTCTGTTTGTATTCAGAATTCAAGTTAATTTACCGGTCGTCTGACTGGGTATTTTGAAGCGCTTTTCTAATGTAGTTAGTGTGACGAGCATGTAAACAAAGGCCATCGCCTGGACCAGACCAAGAAACCCATACACCAGGATGAATGTGTGTGGTGTAGCTCGTTTCTGCAGCCATTTCGGATAAATACCACATAATCCACAGTTCGTCACTGATTGCTCAGTCATTACTTGTACTGCAGCTCTTGGCCTCTGCAGTTTTTTTAATATTCTCAGGGTGTCCTTAAAATAAAACATGGAAATATTATCAGTCCCACTGGCTTAACGAAACAATATTTAAAAAATTGATTAAAACTAAAGCCATCATTATAAAAAAGATCTGAAATACAGGATTAATTTGAAAAATACAGATATTTAAATAGAGGAGAGTGGAGCAAAATGAAACAGGCGAAAAATTAATGTTTGATGCCATTCAAGCAAACAAATTTTTTTTTGTTAAATATTTTTTCATCAACTTTTGTTCATTAATTCTTTTTTATTCTTGAGAGTACTAATGAGAATACCAATTTTCCATTCAGAAACGAAAATAGAAAAGTGTAATCGGCCTAATCTAATCAATTGAATTATAATCAATTGAATTACAAGACGAATACAAAATTATTATTCTCATCAGTACTCCCAATAATGAAAAAAGTTAATAATCGAAAGTTGATTGAAGAAAAATTATTTTGTTTGAATTGCGTCCAATAATCGTTTTTCGGCTGTTCCATTTCGCCCCGCTGTTTCATTTTGCCCCACTCTCCCCTACATCAGACGTATTTCATGTATCATTCGGTTACCTCTCTCCGATTTTAGATCATTTTTCAACAGTCGAAGAGGCAATTTCAAGATTCCAAATGTACATCATTACCAAGCTCTCATTCAATACCAAAACTTAAAAAATTCCGGAGACAATTTGAACTTCAACTTAATTCAGTCTCAATAACAAGGAGATCTATGATAAATGTGATAATGCCCCTCAAATTCAGTAGTCACTGATGATAACAGAAGAAGATATTGTAAGTAATAAATGCAATCTCTGACTCATTACGAGAAAGATCGATGGAAATTGAGAGAGAAAATTAGTTCTGTAGAAAGATTATATAGATATATATAGATACAGATATAGATATAGATATATATATTATATAGATTTGTTCGCCCTCTCTGGGCGAATATATAATCTTTCTACAGAACAAAAAAGAAAGTTTCCACCAAAACATGATAATTTTCGTGGCGCAATTGTTCTCGTGAGACATTTATATGTCTTTCGGGTAAATACATTCGTTCCACGGAGAATGATATGAGGCTCCGGTTTTATCAAGTCAATGTTATTGAGTAGTGTATATCTTTGTCCAATAAACACTTTTAATTTCCATTGAACAAATGATAATTTCAAGAGGAAACTACAATTTTCTTGCCGAAAATTGTGTTATTGACAAAACTAAATAATTTCGAGGGGACAATTTTTTTGGGAAAAAAATATTCTTTCCTCGTCAATGTATTCTTTCTGTAGTATAAATCTATTGAGTTCTCTCAACAGTTCGAATTCTTCTAGAAATATTTCTGATGATCACGACAAAAATGTAATTTTTGTGAAAGATATTAAATTTTCTTCTATCAAGTCGGTTCATTTCCTTCAAGTAAATCTGTTCCACTTCATCAAATATTCTCACGTGGATCATATAGTTTTTCAGCAGAGCTAATTTCTTCTTTCAGTGAAGAAATCTATTTCTTTTCTGAAAATAATATTTCATTGTCGTCAATATATTCCTCTTGCATTAAAATCACATGACGTTCCTCCACATCAAATGAAACACTTATAATTTCCATGGAACAAATGATAATTTCAAGACGAAACTACAATTTTCTTGCCGAAAATTGTGTTATTGGCAAAACTAAATAATTTCGAGGGGACAATTTTTTTGGGAAAAAAATATTCTTTCCTCGTCAATGTATTCTTTCTGTAGTATAAAGCTATGGAGTTCTCTCAACAGTTCGAATTCTTCTAGAAATATTTCTGATGATCACGACAAAAATTTAATTTCTGTGAAAGATATTAAATTTTCTTCTATCAAGTCGGTTCATTTCCCTCAAGTAAATCTGTTCCACTCCATCAAATATTCTCACGTGGATCATATAGTTTTTCAGCAGAGCTAATTTCTTCTTTCAGTGAAGAAATCTATTTCTTTTCTGAAAATAATATTTCATTGTCGTCAATATATTCCTCTTGCATTAAAATCACATGACGTTCCTCCACATCAAATGAAACACTTATAATTTCCATGGAACAAATGATAATTTCAAGAGGAAACTACAATTTTCTTGCCGAAAATTGTGTTATTGGCAAAACTAAATAATTTCGAGGGGACAATTTTTTTGGGAAAAAAATATTCTTTCCTCGTCAATGTATTCTTTCTGTAGTATAAAGCTATGGAGTTCTCTCAACAGTTCGAATTCTTCTAGAAATATTTCTGATGATCACGACAAAAATTTAATTTCTGTGAAAGATATTAAATTTTCTTCTATCAAGTCGGTTCATTTCCCTCAAGTAAATCTGTTCCACTCCATCAAATATTCTCACGTGGATCATATAGTTTTTCAGCAGAGCTAATTTCTTCTTTCAGTGAAGAAATCTATTTCTTTTCTGAAAATAATATTTCATTGTCGTCAATATATTCCTCTTGCATTAAAATCACATGACGTTCCTCCACATCAAATAAAACACTTATAATTTCCATGGAACAAATGATAATTTCAAGAGGAAACTACAATTTTCTTGCCGAACACTGTGTTATTGGCAAAACTAAATAATTTCGAGAGGACAATTTTTTTTGGGAAATAGTATATTTCGATACGAGTGAGACAGAATTTTCACGAGTGTGAAGTTGGCGGCCCGAGGCGAAGCCGAGGGCTGCCAATCACACGAGCTGAAAATTCCTGTCTCACATGTGTCGAACAATAGTTTTTGACAGTGATGTTACGTTCAGCGAGTGGCGAACTGTGCCTTTTTTCGTTTACTAGTAAACGAAAAGGCAGTTTTCGACACGAGGTGAACGTAGCAGCAGTGTCAAAATAGTATATTTCGTAACGAGTGCAAAAAAGTGTTTTTTGGCGAGTGGAAGGTTTATTTCACGAGCTGAAGGCGAGTGATATAATCCCACGAGCTAAAAAACATTTTTTCACGAGTTACGAACAATATTTTTCATCACAATGTGGCGGAAAGTTCACTTTTCGTCACAGCGTGATGAAAAAAATATTTTTTCCTCGTCAATGTATTCTTTCTGTAGCATAAACCTATGGAGTTCTCAGATCAAATGATTGTCGTACAATAGATTATATTTTTTCCTGCCAACAGTTCGAATTCTTCTAGGGATATTTCTGATGATCGCGACAAAAATCTAATTTTTGTAAAACATATTAAATTTTCTTCTATCAAATCGGTTAATTTCCCTCTGTAAATCTGTTTCGCTCCATCAAATATTCGGCAGAGCAAATTTTTTCTCTCAGTGCATCGAATTTTCGGGTAATTGTTTGTAGTTCTCTTAAATCTTTTGATTGAAAAATAACCTCCTAAAGGTAGTGCTACTTTAACATGGAACAGAAGTATTGTTGGAGTGAGAGAATAATACAAAAATGCATGGCTGTGTGTGGATGTATATAACAATGGTCTACTTTGATGCTGGTTAGCTGCGGAAACGAGCAGTTGAACACAAAAGACACGCTACCTATATTCGTCCACTCCACTCTACAAACGCGACATTACGGTTAACAATATTGAAATTGTCTTGTCCTCTACCTTGAATACTGAGTGTCATCATGATTTCTGACAATTTAAACATTCATCATCTTCGAAATATCTCCGTCAAAAACTGCGATTTCTCTCGAATTTTTAAATCATTGCAATTAATCATGTATTTTTGTAATTGTTAATTAATGATTTCTGGGTCATTTAGAGATTATGAAAGTGAGTGGATAGCATTTAGCATTTCTTTTTCATATTATTTTATGAGATAATTCAGAAATTGAACGAATCGGTTGAGTAAGAATGTTTAAAACATTGAAAATTGTCTTGGGAAAAAGGGAAATTAGATGCGTTTTAGTGATGATCTTCTTTAATTCCTTAAATTTGTAACATCTTGAGTGCATTTAAACTTCAAAAAATGAAAGAATTTTCGTTAAACATAAAAAATTTCAGTGGATAAATATTCTTAAGATTCTTCAGGAACTGATTGCTATAGAGAACTGTCAACTTAAGAATGTTCAAGCCTTCTTTTACAATTTGCTACAAACCACATTATAGATTCAACCATTTGTAATCATCAAATTGGTTAATTAAATGGCCTGAAAAAAAATTGTAAGAAATCGTGAATATTCAGCGTCATTAAAATAACATTTTTCACAGAACCATTGGGTGAAACACAATGATTCTGTGAAACACAGAACCAAGATTGCTTTAAACATTCGTTATTTATAAATAAATAATTAAAATTGTTTAAACTTTCGGAAACCTTATTTTTTTAGGCATGAACTCGATTTCTGGTAAAATTCTAAATATTAATGAAGATGTTACGATTCCAAACATAATTATTTTTATGTTGGAAAATCGATTGTTTCCAAATAATTTATAAAAAATTGCAATGTATTTGTAGAAAAATGCAATTCAAAAATTGCAATTTCCAAATTATTCCTTCAATTTTTCTTCAAAAGTAAACTTTCTCATTTTTTTTTACTTTTAAAATGTTTTCTAATTCGTTCGGTAAAAAATCATTCTTTGTCACAAAAGAATTCGACGCAATATGGATCCATCATTCATGTTCACAGGGATAATTCTTTCCCCGATAAGGTGAAAAAGTACTGAAAATCGAGTTCGCTCCGCGATTACTTGGTTTGTTCGGTAATTTTTCGCCAACTTATTTCTCCGCGCATCCGTCAAAACATCTACCAACTATCATGTCACGTAAACACAAAAATACGAACCTGTCGTCCGTCAATCTATCTCCACCTAAAGATTTCTAGAATCAAACGGAAAACCAAATTATCACCTATCAAATATAATCACATATATTTTGTCCTGCCTACATCAGACAAATGCCCCTGACAACTGATTCACTCCTCGAAGGAAATGTCTCCACAATGCAAATAAAAAAAAGATAAGAACGACGTGAACACTCGTAAATTTTGCAGTTCCACGGATTTATTTTCGGTTACATCACAGAATTCCAGTGGCTGCGATGTTAGGCAACAAAATAGAAAAAAACAACGATTATGCAGGAAATATTAGTAGCGCGACATTCACTCAATCTCAACAACTCAGAAAATTGAATGACACACTGAGAAAAAAAACTTATGTTTGCCAAATATCCATTTACTTGAGAGAAGTATTTGTTTTTTTTAATGCCGTAGTTGTCAGGCAATCCTCATTAGGTTTCAATTATGTCAATGATATTACTCTAGAAGATGATTAAGTTATTAAGTTATAAAATTGATTTTTTTCGAATAATGAAAGAATACCCATAAATTCGATTTCTATACTTGTCTCTTGATAGAATAAATAGAATAAATAACAGAAAATGAGAATTATAGGCTAAAAATTTTATCGGATTATTATTGTGTAATAATTCTTCCCTCTAGAAAATAAAAAATTCCGGAAAAATGAAAAGTCATTGGAGGAGTTCTCCTAAGGTCACTTCCTAATCAGACTCACCTGGGCATGACTCGAATGAGAAAATACGACTACGAAAAAATAAATACTCTCCCAAGTAAATGAATATTTGGCAAAAATAATTTTTTCTCAGTGCGAATTCCGTGATGATTTGCAGAAGTCAATTCATAAATCATTGAGCTGTGTCCTAATCACACTTGCACTAGTGTTGACTCCAGATAGCAAATGAGTTTTTGCGTTATACTCAATGTACAGCAGAAGCTTGTGCACACAATGAGTAAACACCGCCAGTGCAGAGGAGAACTCACCTTTTACATAATGAACTTATCATATGTCTGTTCTCAGCTCGCGTACAATTGCCAGGTCATTGGTAATAGTTTACAAATAATCTCATGAGCGATACGAGCAGGATGTATCACTTCTTTTACCTCGGAGAGTGAAAAAAAACGTCTCAAGATCATGAGGTGCTGATATCCCTCGAATTGTTATGAAAAACGTAGGAAATAAACGTGAGAATGATAAATTGAGATAGAAAATCGATATTTAATATTTATTCTTCAACTGATTAGATTTCGATTCAGATCGAACTCTGTGATGACTCTTATCTTGTCATTTGATTAAACTATTCGACTGGACAATCCAAAGAAATGAAGATTTCCCTCGAAAATCGGAATATTTTTCTTGTACTGTCGATTTCAACTTTTTTTAAATATTCTATAAAAAATATAATAGAAATTAAATAGAAATTAAATTGTATTAAATTTCCATTTTTGGTAATAAAATAATATAATAGTACGATGATTTTCTCATTTTTGATTGATGAATATTTTGAACGTAAAAAAATTAAGTCTCGCGAGGTACAGTATTGGCCCCCAGTGGCGGTGTGAGTAGTTAGACAAGTTAGAGTAGTCACGCAATGTTGATGGAACAATGTGAAAAAACAGTCATCGGGACAAATAATCACGGTATCTGTTCGATTATTATCATCGAAAAGGATAATTCTTCAGTTTTAAACGTGCAGAAGGATGAATTTGTTTGAATAACCATTAAATGTGACAGTCTATCTATTGGTAACCCACCGTCTATCTTCTAGTCAGTCATTTTATCATTTATTCCTTCATTGTTTCCACTTCAAATCAATATTTTCCCATAATTCATGTATTTTTTCAGGTATTATAGAACCCATCATTGGCGTACTTCGGTGATTTATCAATTTTTATCTCTTGACGGACCTCAAATTGCCCTCAACTGTACAATTCCTTAGTCCTTAACTATTCTTAATTCATCCTTTACTATGTTCTTTTCCCATAAAATAAATCGAACATCAATTGATTCAAACCTCAGTGAATATTTAATTTTTTCCCGAGGTCTGCATCATCAAGTCGTCACATAGAGTTGAAGTAAATTCAAACGTTCGAGAGAATTGTACTCAAATAGCTGCAGTGCATGAGTGCACAAGGATAATAATAATCCCTCATTGGATATACAATCATATATCAAAATAATATTAATATAATAATAATATCATAATAATATTAAATTTACAGTTACAAAATCGCGAGTTTTTCCCTCCGATTTGTCTCAATTAAATTATGATGATTCACTTGAAAATAAATCTCAAATTAACACTAAATGTGCTAACGAGGATAATAATAATCCCTCATTGGATATACAATAATATAATATCAAAATAATATTAATATAATAATAATATCATAATAATATTAAATTTACAGTTACAAAACCGCGAGTTTTTCCCTCCGATTTTCCTCAATTAAATGATGACGAGTGAAAATTTTTCTTACCAAAAATTAGGCACAACGACAACTCACTTGAAAATAAATCTCGAATTAACACTAAATGTACTAACGAGAATGTTCTACAGCGCTTGAGTATTTTAAACGCTCCACGCGCATCCGCGCCACTGATTTTTCACGGCCAGCGCAGGGAGCGTGGTACGATCTCTCGAGTAATCGTAGGGTAAACTAGACTCAGTGTTGGGCACAGCTAACATCGCGATGCCCTCCTCCTCCTCCCGCCTGTCGCTCGTCGTCATTCGGTTCATGCTACTCTGAGCCCACTTTTCTTCACCTCCTCCCCTCACGACTTCCACCGCAGTTCCTCTGGTATCACGTGGTGTGTGTCCAGTTCTGTGTCCTCCTGACCGATTCAAATGATGCCTCATCGCGGAGATAACGGCGCTCAATTGACTGTAGAGCTCCAAGGTACGAGGGAACACCATTGGAGGCACACACCAGTCAACATTGCAAATGCAAAATTACCGTGGTTTTCATTTCAAAATGAGCATTAGGCTAATACAGAATTATTTCTAATTTTTTTCTAATAAAAATTGGGCTTTATCAAAAATAGGTGAACAGTCTCAATTCTTTTCCCGCTTCGCGGGAGGAAAATCTGCCTTTTCATCACGCTGTGACGAAAAGTGAACTTTTCGACACGCTCCGCGTGCCTAAAAGTCCAATTTCCGCCACATTGTGATGAAAAATATTGTTCGTAACTCGTGAAAAAATGTTTTTTAGCTCGTGGGATTATATCACTCGCCTTCGGCTCGTGATATAAACCTCCCACTCGCCAAAAAACACTTTTATGCCACTCATGCCTGAAACCGGCTGGATTACACACTCGACGCTTCGCGTCTCGTGTCTAATTCAGCCGGTTTCAGGCTTCGTGACATAAAATTATATTACGTGCTAAGGCGGAGAAGTGCTGAATTCAACGCTGGTGGAGTCCACCACCACTCGACGCCGAAGCGCGTATACTATTTTTTATTGCGAAAAGCCCGTGGGGGTCCAGGGGGCGCAGCCCCCGGCGGGGGGGGG